TTGTTTCAACATATTCAAACTTCTTTCAACATATTTATATTTGTTTCAACATATTTATACTTGTTTCAACATATCTAGCCAGTTTCGACATATTTAAACTTATTTCAACATATTTAAATTTGTTTCAACATATTTAAACAAATCGCATTAACTATATATTAACAAAATATTAAAGAATATGATGCTATAGAAGAAAATAATTCGATGTTACTCCTTTCTCTCTGGTCTATAAACCAATTTATGTCACCAGAGCTAGAAACTTTTGCATTGTTAATCCCTAATCTGTAATCCTTAATCCGTATCTTGTAATTCAATTGATTAAGATAATTCTTTCCGGATATACCTAAAAGTCCAACTAAACAGCAGCCAGAATAATATACGCTTGACCAAATAAATAATCAAGAAAATCAAATTCAGATTTTTGCGAATGAAACACAAAGTCAAATAAACAAAATTATAATCAGTGAAGGAGTTGTCCACAAAAGTTATCAAAATCAACACAAAAACTAATTTCTATTTTAAATTATACTTTTTCAGATTAAGGATTATTTAAGTATTTTTGACACAATAATATTTGAATATTTTTCCCCTATACTCAACTAAATAACGACCCTGCCCCCCACACCGGACAACCAGAGTGAGCAGCATTCGGTTTCTTCTATTTGAAATCAAACGTGTTTTGGTAAGTCAATAATCATTTACTTTAAGGATTTGTTTACTTTATACATTTTCATTCAAAATGCATAGGCCGACAAAAAAGTATTTAAGAAAAAAGGCTAACAAATTATGTTTAAGGGGTCAAATTGTGATCGAAAGTCACAGCTTTCTGGAATATTGACAGAACCGTTAAATCCACGTGCCCCCCCCCCCGCTACACAGCCAGCTATATCCCATGAATGATCCGGGTCCCCCAATTGTCAATATGTTATATATATATATATATATTTATATATATCCATTATATATATTCCACTATCAATCATGAGTCCTCCCATCCCGATATCTTTCAACCCACCTCCAATCCCTTCTCATCCTTTATCCCCTCGGAGCCCCACCCCGGTCCTTTCAATACCATTCCATTATAAATTAGAGATATTTCGTAATCATATTTTTAGATAATTCTTTTGCCTTTCATTGCCATTTATTAAAACCCCTACCCCTTTCCTCCCAAATACTGTGGATTTTTTCTCCTTTTTATCCCTACCCTTTTTTACAGGTTGATAAATATTCACCCTCCTTTACAGGTTGATAAATATTCACCCTCCTTTACTTATCTTTCTCTCTCGCCCCTTTCCCCTGTCTCTCCCAAACCCCTCATTCANGGGGTCTGGGAAAAAATCATCATTAACTACTATTGGAGATCCACTTTCTTTGGAGACCCCTTATTGATGTCTCGTTGGAGACCCCCAGATTTTTATTGGAGATCGACCCCAATCTTTTTATTGGAGACACCCAAATTATCATTGGAGACACCAGATTTTTATTGGAGACCCCCAGATTTCTTTTGATAACCTCAAGCTTTTCATTGGAGACCCCATATTTTCGTTAAAACCCCAGATTTTTATTGGAGATCGATCCCAATCTTTTCATTGGAGACACCCAAATTATCATTTGAGACACCAGATTTTTATTGGAGACCCCCAGATTTCTTTTGATAACCCCAAGCTTTTTATTGGAGACCACATATTTTCGTTAAAACCCCAGATTTATGTTGGATACCTCCCCTCATATTTTCATTGGAGACCACAGATTTCCGTAGGAGACCCCCATATTTTAATTGGAGACCCCAAGAAATGCATTGAAGGCCCCACAGATTTTCATTGGATAACCCCAGAATTTAATGGGAGATTTTATGAAAATCTTGGGGGTCTCCAATGAAAATCTGGGGGTCTCCAACGAAAATCTTGGGGTCTCCAATGAAAACCTGTGGGTCTCCAATGAAAATCTGGGGGTCTCCAGCCAAAAGCTGGGGTCTTCAATGAAAATCCGGGTGTCAAATATAAGTTCAGCTATATTTAAAAAACCATGTTTGAAGTATCAAGTTGCAAAGATATAGGTTTTAATAAATTAGAGTTTGTGACAGCTCTCCTTTAATAAATTAGAGTTTGTGGCGATTGTTCAGTTCCTTTCTGGCTTTATCTGCAAAGATTGCATTCGGAAAAATGTAAATTATAAATTTATGAAAAATGTTGCGAACTCTATTATTTTGTATCCTCTCTATCCCTTTATTTAATTATTCCTCCCATTCCTCCCATCCCATCTGGTTTTTTATTCTTACCTAATCATATAATAGGAAATAAGCTGTAGACAAGAGATATTGGTTAGAAAACTTTATTAACAATTTATATCTTAGAAATGTACATTTACAACGTAGATATTAAAGGTATAATATGAATCCAATTGTTGCAATATCCGAACCAGTACATTGGTTTACCGTTCCAGTACAATCTAACTGTAATAAATACTCTTCCGAATCCCATAGTTGTACATTTGAACATACATAGATAAATTACGTTGTACATTGTCTATAAATCTAAATGCGCTTATAATAAACCACGCACAACTTGTAATGCGATTAACCTAGCCTAGCTACGTCTGTATTGCGATTAGCTTAACTACGCTTATATATATCCGCACAAATCTTGTAAATGTAAATTAACTTAACCTGTAACATTGATATCTAAATACAGTCAGTTGATGTACATCCTTAAAAGATTTGCGCAGAGTGCAAAGTTGATGTTCAAAAATCATCTATTTGGGTGGTCACTTCTTGAAAATAGATTTTTTTTAAATTATTAATTATCGATGACAAAATATGTAACAAAAATTCAAAAGTAAACCAATTAGAAGGTTGAAAAAATAAAAATTGACTCTTATTATCGAAAATAAGTAATCTTATTCAGTTATTTGTTTCTTTTATTCATAAGACAGTTTTTTGTAAATTTGCCAAAATTTTTACTAAAAAGGCGACATTTTAATAATTTGAAGAACTCTACAAACAAATTCGCAAAGAAAAGAAATGAATTATAATGCTTAAAAACAAATAGTTCATTCTAGCATTAATTTATTGACAAACTTCTACTGAGAAATATGTTCCTAAACATCTAATTAGTTTACTGTATAATTTTGTTTACATTTTTTGTCGTCGTTATTTAATAATTTTGAAAAATTCGTTACTCAAAACATAACTATCCTAAAGGATTATTTTGAACGTCGACTTTGCGCTCAAACTCAGTAATTATACATCATCAAAACGTTTTATATGCCTCAAAAGAATCCTAAAATATTTCTTTACATATTCTACATTCTTAGTTAAACTACCATACATTGACGGTCACTCCCTTTAACAGCTCTTGAAACAAAAAATATGCAAACTTTACTTAGAAAATTTCACAACTTTTTGCAACTTATTTTCTGACATTGATGTTGATAGAAGGGAGAGATATAAATAGAGAGTTAAACTTTTGGTTGAAGCTTTTAATAGAATGCCTAAAGTTGATTATCTACAAATACTGACCTTTAGTACGTTACCTTTAAGAATAAAGTTGTGAAAATTATCATAGTTTTTCATTTTTAATTGAATATTTTGAGAAAAAAGAGAAAATTTATATTTAAAGGGAGTGTTCGCGAAAAATGAAAAGGGGGTATAGGCTTAATGCGATAAAAAAGCACTTTTGATCGCCACTAATCTTACTTCTATCTGTTGCGTCTATAAGGAGAAAATTTATAAAGACGTCTCATACCGAAGAGCGTAGCGCCCATACAAATTGAGGAAGTTGGAACATACGACTTGGACCGTAACAAAATCAAATTAATATCAAACAAATCATTCAGATATTACAACCTATAGTCATCGATTATCTTTCTCCACATTTGTATATATTTAATATTTCATACTAGTTTTGATTTTGTTTTTTTTTTAAAATAATATTTAGCTTACAACTTGTTTTCGAACATTCCTGGAAAATATGAAAATGTCGTCTTCATTACCAAAAATCCTCGAAACAGGAATAAACGTTTTTATAAGTAACTCTCAGATCATAACAATGAAAACATATTATGAAAAATCAACTATATATAAATGTGGCGAAAGAAAATCGATGACTATAGGTTGTAATATCTGAATGATTTGTTTGAAATTGAATTGATTTTTTTACGGTCTAAGTCGTATGTTGCAATTTTCTCAATTTGCATGGACGCCATGTTATTCGGTATGAGACGTCTTTAACAATTTCCTCCTTATAGACGCAACAGATAGAAGTAAGATTAGTGGCGATCAAAAGCGCTTTTTTATCGGGTTAAGCCTATACCCCCTTTCATTTTTCGCGAACACTCCCTTTAATTTAAGCAAAATTGTCCTCCAATGTTATCTAAACGAAATGTTATCTAGGCGAAATGTTATCTAGGTGAAATGTTATCTAAGCTAAATGTTATCTAAGCATTAAGTTATTAGGAAAACATCTACGGCGAACTTGTGCTAAGCAAAATGCACTACCCTAAAACAAGATTCGTTTTTATATCAAGAATTTTAATTCAAAGCTTTTACAGTTCTATAGCTAAAGAGTTAATTGGAAGTGACTTTTAATGCAAAGATGGCAATACCGGATTCATAACGTTACCCTTGAAACCTGTTTCTGATCAATACTATAGAAGATATTATTGTTTTCTAGGTTCAAAAGTTTCTAATTATAATAACTACTATATTTTTTCCTACAGTAGAATGCACAATTCAAATTTGTAGATCAACCATAATTGAAAATACTCTGTTTTCAAAATAATAAACATTGATATCTAATTCTTTCTTGTTTTGACAAAGCTTTTAAGGATATCGTTAACATCTTTGTACTTGCATTGCGGGTCACTTGAAAGTACACTTACTGTCCCTTTAAGTTGTAAATAATGGAATGCTGCTTTATAAGAGCATTCTTATAACAAGAATTTAAAAATTTCAGCTGGGAATTTATAAAGCCTAGATCAGGATCAAAGTAACACAGTTTTTATTTAACCTTCATCCAACAAAGAGACAGCCGATATGAATTTTATTAAAGTAAAATAATTAAATTAAAAAACATTATATTAGCTATTACATTGTATAGTTTTTATTTATTTATAGTATGAAATTCACAACTCTACCCTTTAAACCTTTTTCTGATGATTGATCTGACATGTCGTTTTACTAGCTTGAAAATTGTCCAATTCGGATAATTGTCTTCATTGTTTTTATAACATAATCCGCAGGTCTCCACTGAAACCACAATTGAATATTATTAACTTGGATATCTCATTCCTTCTTGAGGTTTTGTACAGAACCTTTAATAATGAAAGTTTAATGTTTTTACCAAATATTCAAAAAAAAAAATAGATTTTTTTCATTAAATAATTTTAACGTAATACTACATTTTTACATTGCTCGTATAAAAAAATCACTTTAATGCTGAAAGCTAATGGCTTTAGCTCTTCATCGCGACCCATGAAAGCTATATGTGATGTTCCTGTCTCGAGAAATTAATGTAAAACTATGTGACAGATTTTTACGAAAACTCATTTATATATAGAAATAGTAGGTTTAAACAGATCATTATTTAGCAAATACACAACGAATCTTAAAACTAAGATATCCCAAAGGAAGCTAATTCTCATTTTGGTTTGCTCCAATTATAATTTTATTAGTTTTATTTTATTTTTAATAGAAATAATTAATAATATTATTTACAAGTCCGTATTACGACAACAGAACTCCAACCAATGAGAAATCAGAAAAGTGGTCACGTGTCTCTGTCTGTATCCCGTGACCAGTATTCTGCACAGGAACATCAGATATAACTTTGATGGGTCGCGATCAAGAGCTAAAGTGATTTGCTTTCAGTATATACCCCCTTTCATTTTTCCTTTACAGTACCCTTCAGGGGTTTAATTTTTAACCCTTTTAAAAAAATCATTCTTTTCAGTTGATATTTGGTCTCTTGCTTGTATGGTGCTACTCTGAAGCAGATTCAAAGAAAGGAAACCGTTGGAGGGAGGTTCAATATGATCAACAGTCCTTCTGGACTAGAAGGGGAGCAGCAGTACAAGTTTTTGGAGCTATAGGTGAGGGTGAAACTATTTATCCGAATATGCCAATTTTTTTTTGCACCATTAGCAAATTAGAAGCAACATTTTTAAAAAATATTCAAAACTCATTCATTAATTAACGATTTAAAAAAACACAAGAAAAGGTGGTTTTTCAATTTTATCAAGAATTATTTAAAGCTAAAAAAACTAGTTTTTATACTTTGAAAAATATATTTATTAACTATTAAATTTTCAAGGAATTTTTACGCGTTCAACGTTTCTCAACCCAGATGGATATTTTGATACCCATCTTTTGATGAAACTTTGTTTCTGGTTTACATTAGTGATTCGATTTATTTACTCAAAAAAGCAAAAATCTGAATGAGTTTAAAAATAAAATAAATATTCTCAAATGTTTCTTTAAATTGTATCAAAGAATACTTTAGAACTGGTGTAAGGTAAATTTGAGCATTTTAATAAATAAAATGATTGAATAGTTTCACCCTTCTTATAGGGTCATCCCTCTCTCGAAGAAAAACGCATAGCAAAGACAAATGAGTTGTGATGCTCAGCTGACTTTTTTAATTTGCAAGATTTATTCTTCTGTGATTGTAAAAACATTCTAAATTGCTAACATAGATTAAAACCAAGATAAATTATTGAACAACAAAAGTTAGTTATTTAGCTATTTATAATTTATAGTTTTTACTGGGAGTGAGACAACATGCATGAGTTAATCACCATCAAATACACTTGTCATATACAGAAAACCCTGATTGTCAAACCCCTAAATCTCCTCATGGTGGACATCTTTGACATTTCCAAGATACAAAGATATAATTTATAATTTTAAGTATATACCCCTAGTACTAAAATGGCGATCGATCCCTTCAAGTTAAAAAGTTGTTTGATATGTTTTCAAACCTAGATATTATGAAAAGTCAAACAGAATTAGATAGTGATTCAAGTTTCATGACTTTTTAATTAAATTATTTTCCGAAAAATTCAAAAACTATACGAAAACTATACGAAAAGCGTAAGAAAAGATTTCGACAATGCTGATAAAGTTAAGGAGTAAGAGTTTTACGCAAACACCGATTATTTTCTCTAAATCTGTGAAAGTTTAGGTAGAGGGGTTTAATAGTAAAATGTCTCTACACATAAAGCGGCTGAAGGTTTAATTTCATGCGACCCTCCATGCAAAGATGGCAATGTCCAATTTACGACCTTATCCTTAAAAGGTTTGTCTGATCAAGTATAAACTTAAAAACTGATTTTTTCAATTCATGAGTTCTCTACAGAATTGACTCCCGCATTTTTAATGCAGAAAAGCAGCAAGGAATTCTTAACACTTTTAAACCTAGAAAACTACAATATCTTCTACATATATAGATAAGATAAAGGTTAAAATGGTACCCTTGAAATTAAGGGCATTGCCACCTGTGCATGGAGGGTCACTTGAAATAACGTTTACACTCCCTTTAACTTACAGAAAAGCTTTGACATTTATCAATAAAACGTTTGTCTTATCTGTCGTAACTTTTTGCTCCCAATAAATGGTTTTTTGTCATTTGTTTCTATTAATATGTTCGGGTATTAAAAAAAACGGGATCCAAAAATTCCAAATATTGTAAAATGGTTTGTAAAATGTCTAGAACTGTAGATTTGTGTTATTTTGTTTATTGGTGTGGGGTAAAGTCGAGAAACTTCTTACATTTCTATATTAAATGCCGACTCTCTACTTAGTTCCCTGGGGTCTCTATTTTCGTCATAAAGGGATTGTTCATCTATTTCAAGATACTCAGAAAACTAGATTTTTTAATTAGGAATTCACCTTGATCCAGCTTACCCCTTTCTTAAAAATGTTCTTACAGGGGCTGTAAATGAAAAATGAAAGGGGGTTTAAACCGAAACCTGAGAATCTCAGGCGTTAAACGATACATATAAAACATCTATCTGATGTTCCTGTCTCGAGAAATTGATATAAAACTGTGTCAAATTTATACGGAAATTCATATATATGCAATTTTGTATAAAAGTTGTAGTATTAAACAGATCATATTCAACAAATACGCAACCATCTGAAAACGACGATATCCCACAGGAGCCTGAGAATCTCATGTTTGCTCCTGTTATAAGTTTTTAATTTTAATTTTGCATTATATATATATGTTGGGTATAGCCGGCCAAACGGCTAAACCGATTGGGCTGATTTTTTTTGTGGACACTCAGGTGATAAGTGATAGGACGCTTAACTACTTACTGCCGGTTCAAATCTTGAATCCCCTATTCAGGATGAACCGTCATGAGGATTTGAATCGGTATGGTAGGTAGTCAGCGACCTCTTCAATTCGTTAAAATCTTCTAAGCTTGAAAGAACTGGTTTGAAGCTTTTATTTTACTTTTTGGGTTCACAGTGCCTGTAGGCTGTCTGCCTAGTGAAGTATAAGATACTAGGCTTTTAGGGCGCTTCGCGCCCAACTTCTATTTAAATTGTGAACATGTTCTCTTTGTTTACATTTTAAAACAAAGAAGAAAAAATGTTTGCGGATTTTCAAGAATTTAAATTTTTTTACAAAATTAAAAACCTTTAAAACACAATTTTTTAAAATTTTTATCGTTCATAAACCTTCCATGTGGTCACGTGATGTCCCACAAAAAATTGGGCCCGATCGGTTCAGCCGTTTTGACATTTATTGGATACAAACAAACAAAGAGACAGACAGACAGACAAGCCAAATTTATATTTAGATTAGACTGAACATGGATTTGCAGATCTGATTAAAAATATTGTTTAAAGACAAGTAAAATATAATAATAATCATTATGCTATGTTTTTCTATAAACATCGTTAGTTTTTATGATGGTTTTAATATTTTACAAACTATTTTGATTATTTTGCAAAATTACAGTTTTAAGGAATGAAAGCAACATTCTTTCGAAATTGAAACATTTTTTCCTTACTTCAGAGTTTAATAGTAATCTTCTGCACTATTTAGTTTAGTATTTTAAAATTTCAAGAATTTTATTTTTTTATTTCAAAATAGTGTAAATGGGTTTGCACTGTACGTACATACAGTGCAAAAACAGCATATGAAAGAAACACTAATTCTTAAATTTCTTCTTCTTCTCAAATACTTTATTAAAAACAAAAGAAAACTTATTCACTTAAAATATAATTATAAAGTGGCTTGTTCACCCTCTATAGTTTCAGATAAAATAACAAACGTGATTTCAAATGTTCAATGAAAGAAGAAATAGAGATAAACTTTTAATACATCTGCAAAAAATTATGGATTTATGAATTTATAAAGTGGCTTGGTCGCCCTTTTATTTTAGCAAAGATAATATATTCAATAAAAGAAAAACGAGAGAAAAAAACTTAAAAAATCAGCAAGAATTATTGATAAGGCCATAAATGCATAAATGCCTAGAGTTAAAATGCATAAGTGCTTATCGCACAACTCTGGATCGAGTATTAATCTCTTAGTTTTCAACAAAAACAACAGGGTTTGACTAGTTTGGATTTAGCAAGTTTAAGTTCTTGAATGTTATAATTAACTTAGGTACGGGATTCATTACGGATGATGATCTTGTAGATGTACATGAAGTACTTGAGGCAGGATTTCCCCATGTCTAACCTCTTTTTATCACTGAGATGTAGCATGTTGCAGGCCTTATCTTCTCTGTAATGAGTTTTCCTGACTCCTACCTTGGAGGCCAGCCTTTCTCTTGGACCTATCTTTACTCCTTAATTCTTAAATTAACACGAAGTCAAAACTTTTGTTCGAAACCGCTAATCTACAACGCATGATCTTGATATCTACTGTGGCAACTTTGAATTCCAAGGGAAGTGTTTGTTTCCCATCAGGGATCACACAAAGGGAAATCTAAAGGTTCAATAAGAACTGAATTTTTGCCTCAATCTCAAATTTTCGAATCTCTTAATCTTTGCAACTTGAAGGTGTATACCTTTGATATTTCATTGTTCGAAATATCAAAAGTTACGATGAAGTCCAAACCGTAGAGAATTAGAGATTGTTGTAAAAACTCTGTTTAGACCTTTATGACGACAAAAGAAACGGATGAGAACTTGATTAATGGAATTAATAACACACAAGTTCTGACCTCTGATATAGTAAACTTACATATCCTTACAATACTACATTTCTCTTCATATCCTTACAATACTATATTTCTCTTCATATCCTTACAATACTATATTTCTCTTCATATCCTTACAATACTATATTTCTCTTCATATCCTTACAATACTATATTTCTCTTCATATCCTTACAATACTATATTTCTCTTTATATCCTTACAATACTATATTTCTCTTCATATCCTTACAATACTATATTTCTCTTCATATCCTTACAATACTATATTTCTCTTCATATCCTTACAATACCATATTTCTCTTCATATCCTTACAATACTATATTCTCTTCATATCAAATATGCATAACATTGTAGTATAGAAAGACGACTTGTTTTAGTGATGTAATAAAGCATATAGTTCATGCAGGGTAGCTTAAATTTCAACTTATAAAATAAAATGGGTCTGTATTCACTGCACAACTGTTTGAATATCTGTCTATCTTAATGTCTGTTAAACATTTGGTCTGTCTATCTTAATGTCTGTTAAATATTTTGTCTGTCTATCTTAATGTCTGTTAAGCATTTTGTCTGTCTACCTTAATGTCTGTTAAACATTTTGTCTGTCTATCTTGATGTATGTTAAACATTTTGTCTGTCTACCAACAATGTTTGTCTGTCAAACCGTTGTGAAGTGAAGATTGTTTTCATACAATTCTATCCCTATCCTATCTTGAGACCTGGTAGGAATCCAACATAAATATTCAAACTTCAAATCTATATTTCACAAATGTCCCGAAAAGTTAGTGTCCCAAAATTCATTTTGATGTCGCAGAATCTATATTTACATTGGATCACAGAATCTAAAAACTTGTCCCAGAATCTATATTTACTATGTGTTCCCGAATCTATATCAATATGTTCCAGAATCTATATTTACAATCCCAGAATCTATATTTACTATATGTCCCAGAATCTATATCAATATGTCCCAGAATCTATATTTACAATCCCAGAATCTAAATTTGCTATATGTCCCAGAATTTTTATCTACTATATGTCCCCGAATCTATATCAATATGTCCCAAAATCTATATTAACCTTCCCAGAATCTATATTCATTATATGTCCCTGAATCTATATCAATATGTAACAGAATCTATATTTAAAATGTGTCCCAGAATCTATATTTACAATTCCAGAATCTATATTTGCTATATGTCCCAGAATCTATATTTACTATATGTCCCCGAATCTATATCAATATGTCCCAGAATCTATATTAACCTTCCCAGAATCTATATTTACTATATGTCCCCGAATCTATATCAATATGTCCCAGAATCTATATTAACCTTCCCAGAATCTATATTTACTATATGTCCTAGAATCTATATCAATATATCACAGAATCTATATTTAAAATGTGTCCAAGAACCTTTATTTACACTGTTTCACAGAACCTAATTTACAATGTGTTCTAGAATCAATATTTACAATGTTTTACAGAATCAATATTTACAATGTGTCCCAGAATCTATATTTACAATGTGTCCCAGAAACTTTATTAACATTGTGTCCTAGAATCTATATTTACAATATGTCCCAGAATCAATATTTACAATGTGTCCCAGAATCTTTATTAACATTGTGTCCTAGAATCTATATTTACAATGTGTCGCAGAACTTATATTTACAATATGTCCCAGAAACTTTATTAACATTGTGTCCTAGAATCAATATTTACAATGTGTCCCAGAATCTATATTTACAATGTGTCCCAGAAACTTTATTCACAATTTGTCCCAGAATCTATATTTACAATGTGTCCCAGTCTCCCAGAAACTTTATTAACATTGTGTCCCAGAATCTATATTTACAATGTGTCCCAGAAACTTTATTTACAATATGTCCCAGAATCTATATTTACAATGTGTGCTAGAATCTATATTTACAATGTGTCCCAGAATCTATATTAACAATGTGTGCTAGAATCTATATTTACAATGTGTCCCAGAATCTATATTTACAATGTGTCCCAGAATCTATATTTACAGTGTGTCGCAGAACCTATATTAACAATGAGTCCCAAATACTTTAATTGCAAGGTGTCCCAGAATAGTTTCTTAACACCCATTTATCTATATTTGTACTGGTGGCAGGCTCAGAACTAATCCTATAAATGCATTTAATAATTCAAGAATATGCCAAGAACCCGAGGAATAAATAATATAATCAATTCTTGCATCAACTAATATGGCGATAAGATATTTAAAAAAGGAAAAATATTTAAAAATATGATATTTCGAAGAAACAGAAATTAATAAACTAGAATGTATCGGAAAACTTTCAAAGAACTGATAACAAATGTTATCATCAACTATTTGAACCTGATTGTGTAAATCACTAATATTTCAAACTTTGATTGCTTGCGAAATTAGAATTTATAGATACGATATCAGGTTACATTTTTAATTTTATTATTTATACTGTTTTCCCACATTTTTAGATTTTTTATAATTCCTTTGGTTTAAAATTTTTACATTAGAGATGCTACAAAAGTTCAGCAAAAAGTATGATTTGATAACAAAATAAATGATTTTCGGGTACAATAATTGTTGACTAGAATTTTCAAAGGTTTTTCTATAGTTTGATAAAACCATAATAGAATATTGCAAGGTAGCAATATTTGCAAAATTGAAAACTATAGAAGTTGTTCAGCTTAAATATTAGGGATGAGAGATATGTGTAATCCAATCTGCGGAGCAAACAAAACTTTTCAAACAATCTTAATATATTTACCAGTAATAAACATTTCAATATTTATCATGATTGTCTAACATGAGACATAACGTTGATACAATAAAAATAATTTTGTGTTAAATACTTTTCTCCTTTTTTATACTAGCTTAGGAACTCAGCTTTACCTGGAAACTAAACTCCAACCCACTCAACTTAAAACTTATAAACAAAGCTAGAAGCAAAATGTATCAACACATTTTTTAAACGATAGTTTTAAAGAAGTAATTGGAAACATTTTTATTAAACTTTTCGGAATAACTTTCAACCTTTGGATCAAACTGTGTTACATATACTATGATGACGTTTTCTACAAACTTTAAAGGGAAGTTTTATATTTTTCAAAATAACATTTTCCCCAACCTATAGTTTTATTAGCCAACCTGTTTTAGGCCCAGATTAAAGAAACTGTAGACATAACTTCCGGTTGTATATTGGCATGTCTGATTCACATTATAGTTTCAGTAGAAGTAAATATTTCCATTTACTGATAGCACCGATTGAAGGATTCATAACTCTGATTGATTAATGAGAAAGAACGAAAGATAGATGTTACCGCCATACTATTTCTATTAGTTCAGAATAGACAACAAATACATGACTGAACCCTGATTGGATCAGGCGCTCATTAACTCGACATACATGAGTGTTCACACCGCTATCCTTTAAACTTTTGACTGATATAGGATGGCGTAGTCATTATCCTTAATCAAACCCCAGGAACGTTTGTAACTGTTGATCAGTTTGTGTACAAGCTGTTTTAGATCTAAGTAATATTTGTATTAACTTTCTGGGAGTTATAGATTTACCGCTGTCCATTAGACATGCCATTTACGGAGGGTCACTTGAAATTATATCTACAGTATCTTTAAGTATAATATATTTGTATAAATAACGGAAATTTATATCTACTTTCTTTTTTCTTCTTTCTCGTCCATATATTGACATTTTCATCATTTAACAATATTGTAATCAATTATATATTCATCAATGTATATATAGATATATATGGTGATCAATTATCTCATATATATAAAGCCAAAGAATCAGAATCAAATTTGGGTTGCGGAACTCGGGAGAACCACGTGAATGTTCTTACCTTGATTTTAAGATTATAAGTTGAGTGTGAAAAATAGCTAAAATCGTAATTTACGACAAATATCGAGTAAACAGTGGGTTTTCTAAACCAAAAGTTACGACCTCAGGTAAGTAAACAAAATGAGACTCCTGACTTCATTATATTGTCTACACTGTAGTTTTCTCTTGAGAGTTGTTCTATAACTACAGAGGCATATCTAGAGTTTCATTCCCTGCCTCTCTTACTTGCCCTCAGGGAGTTCAAGGATTATTAATGTATATTTCACTTTATACAGTAACAACAAGAAAACAATGGAATTATTGTCGTCTACTTTTTTGCTATGATTGAGCCAAAAATCTTGTCATTTAAATTGTTTCATTAATGTTAAGATTTAGAACTACAAAAGTGCATACAAGAACTGTATCATATCCGATTTACAACGGTACCCTTCATAGCTTTGCCTGATCAAGTATAAATGATATATCCATGTTTTTTGTTTAAAAACTAAATATTTTAATTTGTGGTTTCTTAGCAAAAGAAACAGTGGAGAAATTATAAATTAATGGATACTTTTCAAGATGGAATCTGATCAGATTAAGGTTCCCAGGGTAGCGATGTGAATTGAGAATGACCTTGTAAAGGGAAGTCACAAAAAAATGCAACAGCTCCCTCAACCCTGCAAAGATTGAAAATTGGTGGTTTTAATAATGGGATATCTGAATGTTGCAATTCAAACGTAATATCAAGCGTAACTCTTTAACTTTTAATTCTGATTAAAAATAGATAAAAAGGCCTCCCAGTACACTTGAAAAAAAAACTGAAAAATATTAGTGATGGAGGAAAAAAAGAAAAATAATTGCAGTATGGAATATGGATAAAATATAATAACGATTATGAAGATCTAAATTCTATAACAAAACGAAGTTAATGATCAAATAGTTTTGAAAGTTAACAAACTTCAATAGAGATAATTGAATAGGTATTGATCTACGATGGCGTATCAAAAAAGATTAAAAAAAAAGAATTAAATCAAATTAAATAATATATTTTCATGAAACAAAATCATATTTTTTTAATAAATACAAAATAATACAAAAAAAGTAACGGCCGCAAGAAGGCGGAAAGCCCGTCTGATGTTCAAAATTAAACGAATTAGATAATTTTGACGATTGAAAAATAACAGAAAACAGGAAAATGAAAAAAGGTCAAAATAAAGCAGAGTAAGTGACAAAAAATTCCTAGGAGTTAGGATAAGATCAACGATCAAAATTAAAAAGGACTGAGGATATGAATTTAAACTGAGGTATAGAATCCTAAAGGTCGGAGCAACCAAAAAACTGAAATTTAAATTTTAAATGTTGATGTTGGGCTCCGGAAAAAGTTAAGGTTGGACTCCAAAGGGAGCTGGGGTCGGACGGATCTGATGCGACTAATTCTCCGGCAGACTGATTCTAACCTCTCTCAATACCAGAACTTCCATCAGTTCACATCTACCCTCGGATACAGGAACAGTTCACATCTACCCTCAGATACAGGAACAGTTCACATCTACCCTCGGATACAGGAACAGTTCACATCTACCCTCGGATACAGGAACAGTTTACATCTACCCTCGGATAAAGGAACAGTTTACATCTACCCTCGGATACAGGAACAGTTTACATCTACCCTCGGATACAGGAACAGTTCACATCTACCCTCGGATAAAGGAACAGTTTACATCTACCCTCGGATACTGGAACAGTTTACATCTACCCTCGGATAAAGGAACAGTTCACATTTACCCTCTGATACAGGAACAGTTCACATCTACCCTCTGATAAAGGAACAGTTCACATCTACCCTCGGATATAGGAACAGTTCACATCTACTCTCAGATACAGGAACAGTTTACATCTACCCTCGGATATAGGAACAGTTCACATCGGATACAGGAACACTCGTGGAATCATAAAACCATCGTTCCATATTAAAAAAATCATCGTTCCAGATTTAACTAAGTTCCAAATTGGAACCGAAAACCATAGATTTATAATTTGTTCCATGCAGTGACGATCTGATCAAACAATTCGTGAGAAACTTCTATTGTTCTCTATCAAATTTGATAGATTTAACGAACAGAATCAGTCATAATAACACCAAGATTGATATTATGAACGAAATGTATTTCTCTAGTCTTGATAAATACCTCCTGCTTTATATTTGATAAATCAGATTATAAACATTTTCAACACATAAAACGTGAACTATTACAGATCTGTCACGATCTATAAGGAATTTTCAAAATATACGGAAAATGTAAAGTTCTAGCTCCAAATCCAACCTCAACTTGTTTCCTGTTTAAAGCCAAGCCCGGAGTAAGTTGAAACCTCAGAACGTGTTCAAAGTCTGCTCTTCATTTAATTAGAATACTGTAGGTAAACAAACCTTGTCGTAAAATTGTTTTTATATAAAGGTACTGCAGTAGACGTACTTTTAATAAAAAATATATAAAGAGGATTAGGTCGGATTCAAAAAGTTACACATCAAATATTTGTCTAATTCAAAATTATCGTTTCCTATCTAAAAAAGATTTTTTTGTAATAACTTTGTAAAAAGTTCAAAATTTTTTTTTTAAAAACAGTCTGCAGAGACCATTTTTTTCCGAAATTCAAAACCCGAAAATTGTTCCTGAGAAAGAATTAAAGGGTACCGTTGTGAATCGGGCATGTCTCTCTTAAAATGAAGGGCCACTTGAAATGAGTATATTCTATTTAATATAAAAAATGAGCCTGATGTTTGTTTCTAATTTCTACCATCATCCTTTTATTAACTTTCACTATAATTTTCAATTATGTAAATTTTCTTTGTCGTTAAAATTGTTTACTATGTCCAATGTCCAAAATTCATGTCAGAAAATAATATTTTATGTCAAGTAATTATACAGCATGTTAATTTTCATGACATGTCATTGTTCGCGTAATTTACTTGATCGTGAAATGTCATTGTTTATGGCAAATCATTGCTTATTTCATTTCAATGGTTATAGTATGTTAGGGTTTATCACTGGTCGCTTTTATGGAATGTCATTTTTATTAGACTAGAAATTCAAGGCAAAAAAATTTCATTCTTAAACCTTCCCCTGGTAACGTGATGTCCCACAAAAAATTTGGGCCCGATCGGTTCAGCCGTTTTGACGTTTATTATATACAGACAAGCCAAATTTATAAATAGATGTAATTGTTTATATATAATATATAAATTGTTTAATTAATGATTTTGGGTCGTTCAATATGGCACTTCATTGACCATTGCATGTCTTTGGTTCTGATATATGTTATTGTTTATGGCATGCCATGGTCTGCAGCATGTTATGGTTCATAGCATGAATATTGTATATATTTTAAGCATTAAATTCCGAAACTTTTAAAATTTTTTTCCATATTTTTAACTTCGTCAAAAATCCTTTGCTTTTTGGACTCTGATAGTTTCGGAGAATTGGGCATAATCTCTATCTTTGATTTTTTATGAGCTGGTCAAATATTGACATAAAAAGACCATTTTATATTTTTTTATAGTGGGCTTTTTCTTTGGCATGGTTACCAAATATCTAATAAAAATGTAATAACGACATAAGACTGAACTCCAAAAGTCATCCTATGAATGATTTGCAAAAAAAAATCTACGAAATCTTTTTTGGCGGTTCTGTAAATATCTAGAAATAAAAAAACATCCGCGTCAAAATATTCTAACTAAAAACTTTTCTTTGTTGAAAAAACGACTGGAAAGTTTTGAAGAAAAGTTATTAAATGTAGTTTACCCCAGGAAGTTAAATTTTAAACTTTTAATAAGAAGGAAAAAGCTTGACTACAGACCTGTCATGATAAAAGCAAATTAGGATTTTAAAAAGGTAAAATCTGTGAATAATCTATTTCTTCAAAAAAAGCCGTAACTTTTGTTGTCCAAGGGATTAAGAAAATTTCATTTAGATGTCTCTTAAAGGTCGAAGATTCATCACATGAATAGGATTAATGGAATATGGACTCGAATATTGTATTAATTGTGTGTTAAATAACAATAAAATAACCACTAAATATATCTCCCCTGAAGTATTATCAAATAAAGGATTATACCGGATTCTCCGCTATAATTGCGAGGAATGTTTTTCACAAATTTTACATTATGCAAACATCACAGGGAAACAGATTGATACCATTCGAATTCAATTCAAGGCAAAGTCAATATACACCTTTAATTTTTCATGAAATCTTCTTCACATTTCGGTTTATATTGATTTTATATTTTTTTTTTGATAGATTTCACGATTTTAATACTTTCTATCTTGGCTTTAAATCATTTGAGCCATGGCATGATCTGACTAGTTTCGAGTGTTCACTAAAATTATTGATTTTCATACTTTTGTTTTGCATATATTGATAAAATAAGGTGAATAATGTAAATTGGATATTGGCATAAAATGCTTTATGGACTTTTTATCTTTAAATCTTTTAGACTTTTATAATGAAAATTTATTTAATATTTTGGATATTAATATTGAAAACGTGTCATTTTCTAAATCATATTAATGGGGTTTAAAAGAATATTTCATAAAAAAAACTAATAAATTATTATATGCTCGTATCTTTGCGACAAAAATATTGTGTAATCTTCCCGCTTCCTGCTTCTTTTAATCCCTTAAACCCACAACCATATATGTCAAGTTCTGAATTCTAATGTGCTTGTTTAAAAGGAATGCTGTCGAGGTTTAAAGAATATCCCAAAACGCAATTAATACAATTATCGGCTAATTTATTTTTGCGATTATTATTTGAATATTTTTTGAAAAGGGAAAACGTTGATATTTATTCTATATAACAATCGTTAATATTAATAACTAACTTCAATGATACTTAAAATTCGTCTTTGATCTTTTTTAAAATGTGTTCGAAAAGAAACCTAAAATTTATTTCTCAGCCCTACTCCGCGTACAGTCCCTTTAAAGATCCTTGGTTTAATTCCGAGAGTGTCCCTGGGACAATAAAAGGAGAAAGAAACCAAACCCCGAAGAATAATAAAAGAGGAAATTCCTTGTAATAAATATTCTGCACACCCGCTCATCTCAAACCAATAGATGTTTTATTCACAGATTTGATATCAGAATCCTTTATTCTTTCAATATCTCCTTTATATAGGTTTCTATATCAGGTATAAAAAAGGAAACTTTTCAAATAAAATTGTCACAAATCCCAGAGAGCCAAATAAATTTTCCTTTTTTACGAGAGAAAAAAGTTTTTTTTCCGTTACAAAAATAATTCTACTAAAGTAATTTTTTAGATTTTTTTTGTTTGATAGAATAAATAAAAATAGATAAGTAGACCAATTTGTGACTATAAAGTAAGAGTATATAAGTTACTGGGCATAATAAAGCTAAACTGAAGAATTAATAAGAATGTCTAGAAAAGCTTAGAAAACAAGAAAAAACTATGATATTAAACGGAACTAAGAGAATTAGGAGAACTAGAAGAACTATGAGATTGAGAACCAGTAGAGCTAGGAGACCAAGGAGAACAATGAGATTGAGAACCAGTAGAGCTAGGAGACCAAGGAGAACTACGAGCACTATTAGAACCAGTAGAGCTAGGAGACCAAGGAGAACTAGGAGCACTATTAGAACCAGTAGAGCTAGGAGACCAAGGAGAACTAGGAGCACTATTAGAATTAGTATAGCTAGGAGACCAAGGAGAACTAGGAGCACTATTAGAACCAATAGAGCTAGGAGACCAAGGAGAACTAGGAGCACTATTAGAACCAGTAGAGCTAGGAGACCAAGGAGAACTAGGAGCACTATTAGAACCAGTAGAGCTAGGAGACCAAGGAGAACTAAGAGATTGAGAACCAGTAGAGCCAGGAGACCAAGGAGAACTAGGAGCACTATTAGAACTAGTATAGCTAGGAGACCAAGGAGAACTAGGAGCACTATTAGAACTAGTATAGCTAGGAGACCAAGGAGAACTAGGAGCACTAAGAGAACTTGGATAACAAAATGGAACTAGGAGAACTAGGAAAACTAGTAAAATTAGGAGAGCTAGGAGAACTATGAGAGCTAGGAGACCTAGAAGAACTTGGAGACCTAGAAGAACTAAAAGATTTAGGAGAACTCGGAACACTATGAGAACTAGGAGAACTATGAGAGTTCGGAACACTAGAAGAACTAGGAGAACTAGGAAAACTAGGAGAACTAGGAAAAATATGAGAACTAAATAGAACTCGGAGAACTATTGTAAAACTAAGATAACTAGGAGAACTAGAAGCACTAGAAGAACTATGGAGAACTAGAAGAACTAGGAGAAATAGGAGAAATAGGAGAAATAGGAGAAATAGGAGAACTAGGAAAGCTAGTAAAACTAGGACAATACAATAGTTTGATAAAACCTTAGAAAATTCTTTATTTTAGATTTTCTTTCTTTCTATGTATCAGCGCTGTTTAACAATTTATAGGAACTTCTGGCAGGAAAAAAACAAGAAATGTGAATTTTCTAGATTAAGATTAACTTCTGAATATTTCAATACTATTTCGAAATCTTTGCATTAAAGGGACTGAGGACTTAATTCTAAGTGACCCTATATCTATTGAACGGCATGTGACAACATTACCCTTCAAATCTTTGTTTTATCATTGATCGCGGTGAAATCCACATTTTTTCTTGTTAAAATTGGTTGAAAACTTTTCCAGTAAACTGTAGTGTACACAAGCAGAGTATGCACAATTTGTGAATATAAAGTCTGTTATGAGAAAACCCCCTAGCAAAGTAAAAACAGGTATCCTGTATACGCGCCCCTGTAAGAGAACTGTTTCCTGGAACAAATATAGCATTTACAACAGATGAGACTTGAGATACGGTTATACTATAGGTGTATCAAATCCTTATATACGCCCCTGGGTTGTACTAGAGGTGTATCAAATCCTTATATACGCCCCTGGGTTGCACGGAATTCATACTCTCCGTTTCTTTATATTTATTCTTTCTTGCAACTTGTTATACGTTCTTTAAATAATCAATAAATAACCAATGACACAAATTTAAGGAAGAAAACTGAATTCCACCTGGGAATCATAATATTGATATAGTTTCAGGTCGTCTTTACAATCACATCCTTTTTGAGTAAGCATGTACATTAAAATCAAGTTAAGTCTATTTATAGCCAAGTAGGAGTTTTGAAGATTTTTTTTAGAAGCTTGGAGGACTACTATTTATGTGATCTAACTCGAATCGTTTATGTTCGACGACTGCACTAGAGATACATGTTGAACAAATGCATAACAAGGGATTAAAATACGATATAATTTAGCTGCAGTAATTTCATTTTCTAGATTTAAGACGGGAAAGGATGAATTACTCCCTGGTCTATTTACTCCTGAACCTGATCTTCCTCCAGACTAAGTCTCAGACCATCAACCTTTCTCTCCAGGAGAGCAGATCCTACATTGGTATACCTTCAGTACATCCAGCACACCTGGAGTACTTAACAAGACCCAATCTTCATATGCTTCATTCCGCCGGCTGCCATACCACAGGTACTTCAGATAGTTCAGGTAGTTCAGGTAGTTCAGGTAGTTCAAGTAGTTCAGGTAGTTCAAGTAGTTCAGGTAGTTCAAATAGTTCAAGTAGACAAGGTAGACAAGGTAGCTAGGGTAGACAAGGTAGACTATGTTGACAAGATAGAATAGGTAGACAAGGTAGACAAGTAGAAAAGGAAGACAAAGGTAGACAAGACAAGGTAGACAAGTAGACAAGGAAGACAAAGGTAGACAAGACAAGGTATACAAGTAGAAAAGGAAGACAAAGGTAGACAAGACAAGGTAGACAAGACAAGACAAGGTAGACAAGTAGAAAAGGAAGACAAAGGTAGACAAGACAAGGTAGACAAGTAGACAAGGAAGACAAAGGTAGACAAGACAAGGTATACAAGTAGAAAAGGAAGACAAAGGTAGACAAGACAAGGTAGACAAGACAAGGTAGACAAGGTAGACAAGTAGACAAGGAAGACAAAGGTAGACAAGACAAGGTAAACAGAGTTGACCTATGTTGACCTATATTTTACTGAATTTAATTGAATTGAAAGTAGAATAAAATTATGTGTTCACTTAATTCTATTTAATTCCTAAATAGTGTAATTTATCTCAGCTAGTGTTAATTCAATTTTCAGTTAATCACCCGGCTCCCTTTCTAGTTTCAAACTACACATAGTACTCCGAACATCACTCCTCCCTTTCTAGTTTCTAACTACACATAGTACTCCAAACATCACTCCTCTCTTTCTAGTTTCTAACTACACATACACAAAATAAGGTTTCTTACAATGCAGCTATTTGCTAAATATTATATTTGTAGAAAATACATTTGAATAGGAAAAGCGTTAAATTTGAAATTGAAAAAAATACCTGAAATCAGAAATGCGCGCATATTCTAAAATCTAAATAGATATATTTATATTTGGCTTGTTTGCTGCTTTGTTTGTATCAATTAAATGTCAAAACGGCTGGACCAATCTGGGCCAAATCTTGCTTCGGTATTTTCCATGAAAGGTTTGTTGCCCGTCGAAATTGAAGAAAGGAAACGAGTCAAACTCAAATTTTCTAATCTTTATATCTTAACAACTTGATGGTGCAAACCTTTGATATTTCAAACTTAGATTATTTGATCTACAGAGCGTCCCATATCATATTAGATTATTTCCGAGTTTAAACTCCAAAATAAAACCATAATAATTAACAAAAAAACTCGTATTTTCCGCAAGAAAATTCCTGTATCCGCCTTATTTAATGTTTTAAAATTTGACTCATTCTTCTTAAATTTTCTGATTTGTCCCGAAATCGTAATTTAGACCGATTGACGATCGAATATAATGTAGGACACCCTGTACCAGGCATCGTAGTTTGAAATACCTAAGGTCTACGACATTGGGTTCCAAAGATATAGGGATTAGAAATTCTGAGTTTGTGGCAAAGACTCAAATCCTTTGCCTAGAAAATTTCTTCTTAAAAATGTTTTGGAAAAGAAAAATTGTTTCAAAAAATCTGCAAAATATTTAGTTTAATGCAATGTGCGGTGTAGGCCATTATATCAGTATAATGAATCGATTTCAATTTTGATTTACATCAAGCTTTTAAAGAGCATGGATACACAAAAACATGGAAACAAAGAGAAGCTGTAAATTAAAAAACTAAAAAGCTTCTACTTAATTGCTTCTCTTAACTTGCAATTCGAAAAAAATAAGTTAACAATTAAAACATTAATAAAAAATTGTCTTCTAGTATTTTCAACTTTTTTCAGTTTAAATATACATTTTAGATGTTTAAATATATATTTCTTCCAAGATAAATGTTTCATGGGTCTAACCCAATCATCAGTTGGAATATATATATATATATATATATATATATATATATATCTATATATATATATATATATATATATATATATATATATATATATATATATATATATATATATATATATATATATATATATACATAAATGATAAAATGGCGTTTTGATTGCAAAATTGAAAAGGTAAAATTGTCAACTGAAAAAGAGACGATATTCGCCCCGAAAGCTTGTTTCTGTATATGCCGAATAGTTTTAATATCTAAGTTTTCAAAATTGTTTAGTCAAGAAATGAAGATATTTATCATTTCTGGGAAAAAATATCATATACAGTTTAACAATATATTTATTTGTATTCAGAATTACAACTTTCTTGTGATTCCGGACTACTAGTGATAGAAGGAGCTATATTCCGATCTACTGGAACACAAACTCTTCTAAACTGCTCCGGAATAGAACAGCACAGTAGGCAAGATGGATCCAGGTTTCACCTACTCCAGGGGGACCTGGATATTCACAGAGAACTAAACCGACGTTGCTCCGGGTTCTCAGCAGCTACGGATTGTAGATTTAACCTGCTGCTAGATAGTTTAGCCTCTAAGGCCTGGGGTCCGGGTATTGTTGAGGTCTGGCATAGATGTGTTCCTAACAAGTTGATCCAGAAGAAATGTGGAACTGAGGTAAGCCATTCATTTATACACAGAAGATCACAAGTACATAATGACTCCAATGAAAAAAGTTTCGCAACGCCTCGCCAAATTAGTTCTTTGAAACACTTATTTATTTTAGAACTGTAATTAATCTGTTATTATCTCTAGTCTTTCAAAAAGTGATTGCCATAATTCCTATCAATGTTTGCGTTCTGCAATGCCGGCAAACTTTTGAAAAAAAGATAGTAAAAAAGAACATTTGGCATCAATTGGTTACGAAAATGGCAACGTATTAATTTTGTCTGAAAATCTTAACTTTACTATTGGTTAAGGTGAGTGGGAGAGGATTCCTGATGTCTAACTCCTATCCTAAATACTATATGGGTGGTCAGGTTTGCTCCTGGAAAGTTGAGTCAAGCAGAAACCAACTAGTTCTCATCAAGGTACTGGATCTACACCTGGAGGAGACAGGTTCAGGTTGCGGGGACGTATTGACTCTAGGTGGTAGGGTTTCACTGTGTGGTGAACTAGAGGCTAAGATTATCTATGCTTCAGAGTCACCAGTTTACATCACGCTAAATACATCAAGGTAGACAAGTAACCAAATAAAAAGATTATATTTCAGAGAAAATCTATTTTTTATAAAATACTTACTCTTGTTGTTTCTTCTCTCAAAACATCTATTATAAAGATTTTTCTATTTTCTAAATGAAAACTCTTTAAAGGGACTGTACGCATAAATTCAAATAACCCTCCATGCAAAGATGGCAATGTCCAATTCACAACGGTACCCTTAAAAGTTTTTCCTGATCAAGTAAGAAATAGGCATCCATGTTTATAATTTGAAAAAGTGATTATTTTCAATCGTGGTTTCTTTATCAGCATTAAACACTTTTAAACCAAGAAAAACGCCAATATCTTCCACATTATTAATGAAAATAAGGTTTAAAGAGTATTGTTTAAAGAATTCCCGTCTTTAAATGGAAGGTCACTTGAAATTCCACCTACAATCCCTTTAAATTGTTTTTGTTTTTGTTTAGCAACACTCAGTACATCTTTCCACGACGTGGATTCCTCTTGGAGTACATCACCTTATCCTGTACTCCCCCTAGACTATTCCCAACCTACTCCCTGATATACTCCAACCAGACCCACGCTACCTACCAGTGCACCCTTGGCTGGGTGTTCAAGGACTCCTCCATGTCTACTGCTACAGTACTATGCTCCCAGGGGGAGATACAGGTTCCACAGGACTGTATTCCAGGTATAGATATTAGATACAGGTTCCACAGGACTGTATTCCAGGTATAGATATTAGATACAGGTTCCACAGGACTGTTTTCCAGTTATAGATATTAGATACAGGTTCCACAGGATTATATTCCAGGTATAAATATTAGATACAGGTTTCACAGGACTGTATTCCAGGTATAGATATTAGATACAGGTTCCACAGGACCGTATTCCAGGTATAGATATTAGATACAGGTTCCACAGGACTGTATTCCAGGTATAGATATTAGATATAGGTTCCACAGGATTATATTCCAGGTATTGATATTAGAAACAGGTTCCACAGGACTGTATTCCAGGTATAGATATTAGATACAGGTTCCACAGGATTATATTCCAGGTATTGATATTAGAAACAGGTTCCACAGGACTGTATTCCAGGTATAGATATTATATACAGGTTCCACAGGACTGTATTCCAGGTATAGATATTAGATACAGGTTTGATAGCTTTGTGTGTCGATAAATACATACTTAGACCTACCAGGGATTGGTAGAGAGGATGGAGTTCGATGGATTGTGTGTGGATAGATAGTAGATACACGCTTAGATCTACCAGGGTTTGGTAGAGAGGATAGAGTTCGATGGCTTATACGTGGATAGAAACACACTTAGACCTACCAGGGTTTGGTAGAGAGGATAGAGTTCTATGGCTTGTGTGTGGATAGATATACACTTATAGAGAAATATTGGAGAAAGGCATGCATTACATACTATCTGTTTTTTATTCGTGATTTCTTGTAACTTTAAACTTCTTTCTTTCTTTGTCAAATCATTTACTTAGCTGTTAAAATACTTTATTCAATACAGAAGATTTTCATATTTAAAGAGCTTCAGGTCGTCTTTACAGTCTCTTCCTTTGTGGGTAACCCTGTATGTGTACTTTGATGTTACTTGGAGAAACAGGATTTATCAGGGAGGGAAGGCTATAATTCCTCGTCTTAGCCACATTCTCCTAATTTTCTCCTCCCAGTCACCTCTAAATGCTCATTTTTACAATATTTCTTCTAAACATTTCTTAACATTCAATTTATTATTCAGTATGATGTGCTGTCAATTTTGTTGAGGAGAAACTTAAATATTTTATATCTAATTTATTACTAACTTTCACGATATTAAATAATTACTAAAATATTTGTTTAACTCTGGTTTTCGAATTCCAAAGGCGGTTTGAGAAAAAATATGAAAATGTGGTTTAGCCAATGATGCTGGCCGTACTTTCCTCGTAGGACCACGTAAAAATAAATACAACAAAAGAATATTTTCTGTATTGACATATTTCCTTTGCTCATATTTTTATTATTAATTCAAAATCCACCAAAAATGAGGATTATTGACTTTTGCCCTATAATCTATCGTGGGACAGACAAGCATAATGACGGAACAAACAGTAGGACAAGACCAACCTAGGTCATATACAAACATAGAACCAGGATAAAATGTAGAAAATAAAATAAACATAACTCAGAGGATACTACATATCTGTCATAATATAGGTCTGATATTTTCTTTAAATTAATTATATAGTACTTTAACATTGTATGTGTAAGATTAAGTATTCAAATAAAAATTTGACTTTTTTTAACACATTAATATTAGCAATATCTAAAGTAGCGAAAAACTTTAAAATACAGAAATATCAATATTAAAACAAGATATGATTTGAAATGCCTCAAATTTCTTTATTTCATTCTTGATTTCAAGATTTTTTGTTTTTGTTATTTTATATCCTGTGCTTATTTATCCTTTTTCAATGATGAAACCAAAGAAACTGACTTTTTGCCACAAACTAAAATTTTGTAAGCCTTATATTTGTCCAACCAAATTTCATAGATCTTTGATATTTCAATCTCAGAATTCTGATAAATCAATCAATCTAAGTTCGAAATATTAAAATCATCAGGTTAAAAATATGTAGAGATCAGAAATTTTGAGTTTGTGGTAAAAACTCAATTCCTTTGCCCTTTAAAACTTTTTTAAAAACTTTTTATTCTTTTTTACACGAAAATATTAACATTAAAGATGCAAAGATGGATGCAAATATTTACAAAAGCTGTATACAAAATTGAAAGGAAATAGTTTTTTGCCACATGCAATTTGAATCCTAATGGTGTAAGCCTTTAATATTTCAAACTTAGGCCTACGACTGGGTTGAAAAGATATAGAAATTATAAATTTGAGTTTGTGGCAAGACCTTAATTAATTTATATTTGTATGTGCAGTAGGAGGGGCCCCAGACGGAGCAAGCACTCCGGCAGTAGGACTCAGTATCCAACCCGGAGACAGTTTTGATGCCGGCCTCTGGTTTCACGAGGTTCTTCTCCCACTAGTCCTCCTCACCTTCCTCCTCATCCTCAGCCTTGCAGGTCTTATTCTCCTCACCCTCGCCAGGAGGCACAGGATAGAGATGGACAGGGTCACGGAGCAGCAGCAGAATACATTTACAGTCACTACTCTAGATACATACACTCACTTCCAATGATTTTGCTATTATATCCAAGAAAGCGGCTGAACCAATTGAGTCCCATTTTTGTGCCCGGCCTTATGACCCTTGGATAGGTCAGAATTAAGAAAAGTTTTCTAAATATTTAGATGTAAAACGTTATTTAAAAATTGAAAGCCTATTTAAATAACAATTTAAATTTTACGATAGTTTTGTGGAAACGTTTTTAATGCAATTATAGTTTTTATTTATCTATTTGTTAAAACTAGATGGATGAATAATTTCTTAAAAAGGACTGTAAACGTAATTTTAAGAGACCCTTTAATTAAAGACTCGCATGTCCGATTCACACGTCAAAATTTCGTCGTGTTTCAATGTTAAATTGAGCTGAATTTGGTAAATTTTCTAATCTAATCTAATCTAATCTATTCTGCTGAAAAAAATCCACGATTCACTTTGATAGGGTAACCAATGAAAATTATCATTTTTCAGATAGAAAAGCAACATTATCTTCGTCATTTTGTTTAGACCAAGGTTTAACTGGAACTGTTTTATCTCTTTAAATGACGGGTTTTCTGAAATGCGTCAACATCTCTTCTTGTTTTTATTTCTTATCTTTTTTCACTGAATCGTGTAAAATCTTGAATTCATTTCTATCCAACTTTGTTTTTTTCCATTTCCCCGACACACAGCTCAAAGTTTCCTTCTATTTCCCTGAAACCAGTTTTTACAACGATTTATCAGTGATTGAGGAGCACAGATATTAAATCAATTCAAATTCTTCCTTGGTAGATAAATCAGCCTTCGTCATGAAGAACATTGCACATTCGAAATAGTTTCCATTATTCTTTATATTTTTTATCAATGAAACCGGGGCCTTTTTTGTGCAAGTAAATATTTGAAAAAAGAACATATTCTTTATTGTTATTGTTTTTTTTTCAAGCGACTTAACCTACTCCACAATCCACAGTGATTCAAAAGTTTTAGGCTCTCATAAATCTACGAGAATTTTGATTGCCAGCTACTCTTTGTTTCCATGTTTGTGTGTATCCATGCTGGTTAAAAGCTTTATATAAATCAAAATGTTCTTCATTGTATTGATATATGCAACGACGACTGTACTGAATCTAAAAAATATTGTTGGTTATAAATTGTATAGATTTAAGACATTTTAAAGTAGGATAGATCCATGTGAGGACTCGTAAATACGTTTAAAAATGCCTGAATATGTTTGAAAACATTATTATATGTTAATCGAAGATGTATGATTTCAAACATGAAATATGTTTTGGTTTTTATACCTAATGTGGCAAAATGCCTGTTACAGAAATTTCTAACGATGAAAATATAAAATTCTGTTGATAGATTACACTTAATTTACAGGTTAATTTATTAAAAAGCTAAACCTAATGTTATATAAAATATATGATATGTTTTAATAGATAGTTACTTGTTATGTTAAAATTATATGTAAATATAAAGTGTTAAAAATAAAGCTTGATAACAATTTTTTTCTTTATTTAGGCATTTTTATTAATGCACATTTATTATTTTTGAAAATGGACCAATTTTTACAACTATAATCCGCGAAAGTTTGAGAAAAATAAAGATAGTGCCTTTTGGAGTTCAATGCAAAGGTAAAAATGTTATTAGCAAAGAAGGCGCCCTAAAAGAAGAGCCCTAAAATCCTTTTCTTTTCTTATAAGATTTTATGATTTTTTAGATGCGAAATGAAATAAAAAAGTTGAGCAAATTGAAAACTAGAATATAGTAGAGAAATGAAATATAAATAATTTATTTTTTATAGGTTTCTTGGTTACAAAATATTCAAAACAAAAAAAAAACCTCGAAAGTTAGATGTGTATACTAGGAAATTATCGGAATTCAGAATTCGAACATTTATCTGAGTTTACAGACAACCCTATGAAGAAAAAGTAAAAAATATCTAAATAAAAATTTCTGGTTCACCCTTTAAATTTATTATTGATTAAAAATTTCTGTGCCACCCTTGTAATTTAATATTGATTAGAAGTTTCTGTGTCACCCTGTAATTTAATATTGATTAGAAGTTTCTGTGACACCCTTGTAATTTGATATTGATTAGAAGTTTCTGTGTCACCCTTGTAATTTAATATTGATTGGAAGTTTCTGAGACACCCTGTAATTTAATATTGATTAGAAGTTTCTGTGACACCCTTGTAATTTAATATTGATTAGAAGTTTCTGTGTCACCCTTGTAATTTACTATTGATTGGAAGTTTCTGAGACACCCTGTAATTTAATATTGATTAGAAGTTTCTGTGTCACCCTTGTACTTTAATATTGATTAGAAGTTTCTGAGACACCCTGTAATTTAATATTGATTAAAAGTTTCTGAGACACCCTGTAATTCGTATAATTTAATTATGGATTGAAAGTGAGAATTGAAGCTGAAGATTAGATAGATAGATATATATAGATAGACAGATAGAGAGTCTGTGTTATATATATTTGATCTAATAATCAGAAACTCAAAGGAAGGGAGATAGAAGGAGGGGGGAGAAGGGTTGAGGCTCGAGGTCTAGCCTTTTAAAGAAATTGATAAATATGGTCAAGTCAGTTTTCTTTGTCTAAAAAATGTTTATTTGATCCTTGTTTCTTAATGGATTTACAAAAGTGATTGGCCGAAATGTTTTGTTTTGATGGAACTGACAAAATCCCATAACGGGTAAGTTTGTACGCAAACAAAATTAATGCTTCTTGCATGAAAAGATTTGATATTAAAGCCAGAATTTGATGGATGAATGTTTGGAAATTATGGTCGCAAGAAATTTGGCCTCTCGGGAACTAATTGTCCAAAAAATATTTTTTTTAATTTAAAAATTTAGAATATCTGGGATTTTTTAAATGAAAAGGACTGCTAGATTCAATTGTACCCAAAATAATGTTGAAAAAAAATCTATCAGATGATTTTTTTAACAAATTCGATTTTGATTTTAAACTTCAAGTTTCAACATATTGTTGATGGAGTTGGGTTGGGGCAAAAAATGTTACTCCTTAACGTTGCAAAATAAAAATCCTAAATATTTTTAGAATAATCTCAGCTCATCTTACCCTGAGCAACCCAAGAGGTCGTACAATACCCCCAAATTTCCAGTGATAAATCAAATTGTCCTAGAATTTCGGAATATCAAGGGAGGGGGGGGAGAGGAGGGAAGGTTCTGATGGGATATCGGAGATTTGAGATGTAGGACGAACAGGTTTCTCCTGGTATAGATAAACACTGTCATGACAGGTTTATTTAATCTTCTCCAGATCTATCTACTCTACTCAATACTGCCACAACTGGGAATCAAGTTTAAACCTAAACACTTCAGGGATATTCGATAATCCGAAATAAATGATAATTTTTTAAAACTGTTTTTATAAAATCAATTACAAAATGATCTATTTAAGTAAATGTATTGAAAGAAATAAGGTTTATGTGTTTATGTGTTTATGTGTTTTTAATATGAGAAATGAATTCTAGGCATCCCTTGTATTCATAAACCGGCTCAATACATGCATTAAACCTGATCGTTTGTAGTTCTAGTTATACCAGTCTACTGGAGTTAGGATATTATATTTCTGTACGTACAAGGAAAACTGTAGTTAGGACTGATATTATACTATATTATACGGATACTTTACTAATATACTTAGATACTGGAGTCAGGACGGATACTCTACTACTAGACTTAGATACTGGAGTCAGGACGGATATTATACTACTATAAAAGGATTCTGGAGTTAGGACAGATATTGTATTTCTGTACAAGGATACTGGAGTCAGGACGGATATTATACTTCTATACAAGGACACTGGAGTTTTGACAGATATTATATTTCTGTACAAGATTACTGGAGTCAGGACAGATATTATACTACTATACAAGGACACTGGAGAAAGGACTAATATTATACTACTGTACAAGAATGGAGTCAGGGCAGATACCCTACTACTATACTTAGATACTGGAGTCAGGACGAATACTCTACTAATATACTTAGATACTCGAGTCAGGACGGATACTAAACTACTAGACTTAGATACTGGAGTCAGGACGGATACTCTACTCTTATACTTAGATACTGGAGTCAGGACGGATACTCTACTACTATACTTAGATACTGGAGTCAGGAAGAAAGCTAAGATTATAACTAAAGTCAGAATGTTTCACGATAAATAAAAAAGGAAAGGAAATTTTATTTTACAATTTCGAACAAACCAAAATTAAAATTGTAAATATGTAATATATATGTATAGTTTTTTCTCCAAAATACTATACTGATCAAATATTGAATGATATTTTAATATCTAGGTTTTCTTGTATAGTTCCGTATTAATCTCCTGACTATATTAGATACAATGAACAAGAAACTAGATATTCATAATCATATTCTTCCAAGGGATTGGCCGGATCTAAAGCAGGTTATGGGGGAGGCAGAAACTTTAGAGAATATGAGAATTTCAAAAACTGAGTTTAGTAAGAATTTGTAAGAATTATCAAGAATTTGCACTTTTAAAATATCTTTTAGCTAAGCTGATTTGAGACTGATAATGCTTGAAATAATTTTTAAAAAGCTTTAATCTTTTTGCAAAATTAAAAAGTCAATAAATACTTATGATTGTTGAAAAATCTTTCACAAAATGCTCAAAGCCATCGCTTTAGGGGTAAGACTAGGCCTTACATATATAAAAACTACAGGGTGTCCTACGAAACATGACAGTTGGTAAATAGTTTTGAATGTCTCCTTCCATATGCTGTATTAGATATTATAGACTTTTTGCAGTTTATCTCTATTTGTAAAAACCTTTTGGTAAAATATGTTTTCAAACAACTTAACAAACTTCACCAACTGTCATGTTTCGTGGGAAACCTTGTATGTTAAATCAAAGATACAATTTGCCACAATATGTTTGTATATAGAAGTACGGGTATGGAGGATGGGTGTCTATGAACCATTGTTGTGGTGCTAATGGGAATGCGCACATGCTCAAAGATGGGAAATTTTTCAGGTAAAACAGAAACAAAACCACACATATCCTTCCCCTATTCAACTCCTCCCCCTATCCCTTTTTAATATTATCTAGTTAGATTTTTCTTTTATTTTCTCTTATTCCTCAGCATTTTACAGTTTTCCTTTAAAAATTTATTTCTTATCCGAATGTTGAAAACTTCTTATTAAAAGAGAATTTAAAGAATGATTTTTTGAGAAAATAATTATGCGTTGCGATCAATATTTTTCTGGGAGTGTTGCTAACATCAAATTGTAAAGTGAGTCGCTTGTTTTTTTTATTTCTGTCTGATATTTTAACTTTAATGTCCTCTTTGTCAATGAAGAAAATAGCGATCTCACTTCATGTCAGATGCAAAGCGTTACATATAATATTTTATTATCTCCAAGCGTTAAAGCTAGAATACGTTCTCAAAATAGAATACTCAAAGAACTCTTTTCTATTTAAACATACCAATGTTTATATTTGAGATGTTACAATTCTAAAATCATTCTATTATTTAAAATTGTCTCTTTTATCCCGAGAATCCCAATTAGAGCATATTAACTTTAATAACAAACCATTATGATGTGTAACACTCGGCAATTAAATGTCAAACACAATGGTAATCGTTTAAATTTGTTTTGACCTATTTTTATTTGTAGAGAAGTTGAGGAGAATTGTTGGGATGCTTCAGCTAGAATTAGAGACATGGATAGAGATGGTATCACGGTTCAAGCTCTTTCTACAGTTCCAGTCATGTTCAGTTACTGGGTAATATTCTAGTCATGTTCAGTTACTGGGTAATATTCTAGTCATGTTCAGTTACTAGGTAATATTCTAGGCATGTTCATTTACTAGGTAATATTCTAGGCATGTTCAGTTACTAAGTAATAGTCTAGTCATGTTTATTTACTGGGTGTAATATTCTAGCCATGTTCAGTTACTATAGGTAATATTCTAGTCATGTTCAGTTACTAAGTAATATTCTAGTAATGTTCAGATGCTGGGAAATATTCTAGTGATTTTTTAGTTACTGGGTATTAGTGTAGTCATGTTCAGTTACTAGGTAGTATTTTAGTCATGTTCAGTTACTAGGTAATATTCTAGTCATGTTCATTTACTGGGTAATAGTCTAGTCATGTTCAGTTACTGGGTAATATTCTAGTCATGTCCAGTTACTGGGTAATATTCTAGTCATGTTCAGTTACTGGGTAATATTCTAGTCATGTTCAGTTACTGGGTAATATTCTAGTCTTGTTCATTTACTGGATAATATTCCAGTCATGTTCAGTTACTAGGTAGTATTATAGTAACTAGTAATGGGTATTAGTGTAGTCATGTTCAGTTTGCGTGTAATATTGTAGTCATGTTCAGTTGCTGGGTAATATTCTAGTGATGTTCAGTTATATAGTGATATTAAAATAAAACTCGCCAGGAATTATCTTCAAATTCAAATTTAGCTGAGTGGCTTGTAGGTTAATTGAATAGTTTAAATCAGTTTTATAAATGTCTCATCATAACTATTTTAAAATTATAAAAGAAATTTAAAGTTACTCACACAAGATAAGTTTAATGACGACCTTAATATTTTTAAAATGTTTGGCATATTAAATTTAAGTTTTGTCTTGTATTTTATATTTAGCAAATAAAGAAACAAGCTTCAAGCTGTGAGCATAAAAATTAATAAATTTTACACAGCAGTCTTTTGTTTTATGTACAGGGTAAACCTCAATCTAGAAGAACCTAATTTATGTATGTTAATTGTGTATATTGAACATGAAACAAGCTAGGCTTACAGTGATAACCAGGAAACTGTAGAGTACTGTAGACTTTTAGGCTCAAGTTATGATTTTAAATAGTCCAAAAACATGAGCCAGAGGAAATTGAGAAGTGTGCACAGCCCATTTTACTTTAATTTTGATTTTTAAGCTACTATATGCTAATTTATTGGCGTTGTAACTACATAAAATACACTTAAATATTGATTAAATGCAAGCTTATTTAAAACAAAGACGCAATAGAAAGTCGTGTTTTATTGTATTGATATATCTTCCTACCACTGTGAAACATCCCATGAGGTTAAAACTTAAAACTAATGATACTGTGGAACCTGTTATTTATTGTTTTGGTAGGTTTTATCAAACCCTGTAAGCAAAAATAGATGCAACCTTATTTAAAAACAAGGACTCGATAAAAAGTCGTCTTTTATTGTTTTTATAGCTTCACTAATACCCTACTGTAGGCTAAACCTGAGGATACTCTGGATGTCTCTAGAATGGTGAATGATAATCTAGCTGGGACTGTAGCTGATAATCCAGATAGGTTAGTAGCTGATAAATCAGCCAGATTAGATCAATGATAATCCAGCTGGGAATACGTACAGCTGATAACCCAGACAGGCCAGTAACTGATTAATCAGCCAGATTATATCAATGATAATCTAGCTGGATCTGTAGATGATAATCCAGATATGTTAGTAGCTGATTAATCCGCCAGATTAGATCAATGATACTCTAATTGGAACTGTAGCTGGATAATTCAAACAGGTTTGTGGCTGATTAATTAGCCAGATTATATTAATGATACTTTATAGCTGGGACTGTTGCTGATAACCCAGACAGGCTAGTAGCTGATTAATCACAAAGATTAGATCAATGATAATCTAGCTGGGACTGTTGCTGACAAAACGGATAGGTAAGTAACTGATTAATTAGCCAGATTAGATCAATTGAACTGAATAATCTGTCCGGTTGAATCAACAGAACTAATTATTCAACCATATTAGATCAATGAATGATCTTTCAGTCAGTAGATCAATGAAACTGATAAATCCATGGAACTTATTAATCAGCGAGGTTAGTTCGATGGAGCTTGTTTATCACCAAGGATAGATCAATAAAACTGATAAATCAGCCGGATTAGATCAATTGAACTGGTCAATGGAACTACGAATGATTATTCATACGAAACAGAAGGTGTATGTAGATTGTAGAGTGTAAAATCAATAATAAAACCTTCAAATTATACAAAAATAAATTATCAATCCTAAAGTTTTTAACTACACACATGCACTGAAAACAGTACACACATGGAAGAATGAAAAAAATATAAAAAAATATAAATAACCCAAAAATTGTCCTGCAGTTACTAATAATGCATTGGTTTCCGTGTTCCCAGGGCTTGATACGGAAGCAAATTTATGGCTCGATAAACAAAGAATTCCAGTAATGTTATCACTTTGTAAGCATGGTTTAGATATTCTAAATAAAGTATAGTGTATAAATACTTTGGAACCCAGCGTAGTTAGTCATAGTAAATCCCACCGTTTACCCGCCTTTTGTCATAAATTACGACTTTAAAGACCCACTCAATCCCAGACTGAACCCATTCCTGTGGGTCTCCCAAAGAGGCAAATCGGTCCTGCTGAATTTCTGAGTTATGATCGGACAAACAAACAAACAGACAAATAGAGATTACAACCTCAATCTCTATACTTTGCTTGTCTGGGTTTGTGTCTGTTTGTTTTTATCCAATAAATGTCAAAACGGCTGAACCGATGAGGCCCAAATTTTGTGTGGGACCTCAATTGTCCCCTGGGAAGGTTTATAGATGATCAAAATTTAAAAAATTAGCCTCCAACAAAGTTCGATTTGCATTACATTTGAAAATCCAAGAAATTCTTTTTAAATCCGCGATATTTTTTTTATTAAACAAGTTATACAAAGAGATGTTCATGAATAGAAGATGGGTGCGAAGCGCCCTGAAAGCCTAGTTATATTTATGTAGAAGCTTTACAAAACCAATGGTTTACTAGAGATAGCGCTAGGCTGAAAAACTTTAACACGCTATATCACAACAGAATCTTGTAGATATGATTGATTAGATTAATGAAGTCAAAAACCCATTTTTATCAAAATTACTAATCAGTGAGAGTTTTAATGAATTAAAGAAGACTTTAAAGGGAGGGTTGAGGTAATTTAAAGCTCCTTTTCAGACTTCATATAATTAAACATATTTGTAGTTTCTCTATTCAAGCAAACAAAGGAGGAACTTGTCAGAATTAAACACATTTTAAGCATGGAACCAACGATTATTTATTCCAAATTATTATCCAGATAATAATTTTCTAATCCCTACATCTTTTAAACATAACTTCGTAGACCTAGGATTATTCAATCTATGAATTCTTTTAGATCTAATAATCTAAGTTTAAAATATATTATCAAGTTGCAAAGATATAGGTAGAATTCTTTTATTCGCAATTTGAAGAACCTAAAGCTTCTTATTTTATCAAAATCCTTTTCCAAAAAAGTTTTGATTATAAAATTAATATTTGTTTAGGTTTATAGGCCTGGGTACTATTCCTATGCAGGCTCCTGAACTTGCAGTACAAGAGATGAAGAGGGCAGTAGGTAAACAAACATTTTAAAGGAGATGGAGAGGGTAGTATGTAAACAAATATTATAAAGGGACTGTTAATAAAGATGAAGAGGGTAGTTGGTAAACAAATATTATAAAGGGACTGTTAATAAAGATGAAGAGGGTAGTAGATAAACAAATATTATAAAGGGACTGTTAATAAAGATGAAGAGGGTAGTAGGTAAACAAATATTATAAAGGGACTGTTAATAAAGATGAAGAGGGTAGTAGGTAAACAAATATTATAAAGGGACTGTTTAAGGAGATGAAGAGGACTGTAGGTAAACAAATATTATGAAGGGACTGCAGTTAATAAAGATGAAGAGGGTAGTAGGTAAACAAATATTATAAAGGGACCGTTAATAAAGATGAAGAGGGTAGTAGGTAAACAAATATTTTAAAGGGACTGTTTAAGGAAATGAAGAAGGAAGAAGGTAAACAAATATTTTAAAGGGACCGTTTAAGGAGATGAAGAGGGTAGTAGGTAAACAAATATTATAAAGGGACCGTTAATAAAGATGAAGAGGGTAGTAGGTAATCAAAAATTATAAAGAGACTGTTAATAAAGATGAAGAGGGTAGTAGATAAACAAATATTATAAAGGGACTGTTAATAAAGATGAAGAGGGTAGTAGGTATACACAAATGATAAAGGGACTGTTAATAAAGATGAAGAGGGTAGTAGATAAACAAATATTATAAAGGGACTGTTAATAAAGATGAAGAGGATGGTAGGTAAAGAAATATTATAAAGGGACTATTAATAAAGATGAAGAGGGTAGTAGGTGAACAAATCTTATAAAGGGAATGTTCATGAAGATGAAGAGGTAGTAGGTAAACAAATATTATAAAGGGACCGTTAATAAAGATGAAGAAGGTAGAAGGTAAACAAATATTATAAAGGAAATTTTCATGAAGATGAAGAGGGTAGTAGGTAAACAAATATTATAAAGGGACCGTTAATAAAGATGAAGAAGGTAGTAGGTAAACAAATATTATAAAGGGACTGTTAGTAAAGATGAAAAGGATAATTGGTTAAAAACATTTTAAAGGGAATGTTTATGAAAATGAAGAGGATAGAAGGCAAACAAATAGTTCTTTTGATTATTGTACGTACAAATACATTAAATATACAATAACAGTAACAATACAAGTTCCATTTCCTGATGAAAAGAATTATTGTTGCAAAAAAGAAGATTTTAGTTCTGTAAGATTTGCTACTGACAGATGTAGTTGTTGTAGTAAAGTTGAAGCACTAGCTGGACAATAAATTGGAGATTCTTTATTTATCTTTTACAATAGTTTCAAATAAAGTTTTCAAGCTCATATGATACGGGATAGGGTAGGGTAGTTCGGAGTACAGGATAGGGTAGGGTAGTTCGGAGTACAGAATAGGGTAGTTCGGAGTATAGGATATATAGGGTAGTTCGGAGTTCAGGATATAGTAACTCGGAGTATAGAATATGGTAGTTCGGAGTATAGAATATGGTGTTTCGGAGTATAGGGTAGGGTAGTACGAAGTATAGGGTATGGTAGTTCGGAGTATAGAATATGGTGTTTCGGAGTTTAGGGTATGGTAGTTCGGAGTATAGAATATGGTGTTTCGGAGTATAGGGTATGGTAGTTCGGAGTACAGGATAGGGTAGTTTTGAGTACAGGTTTGGGTAGTTCGGAGTACAGGATAGGGTAGTTTGGAGTAATGGATAGGCTAGTTTGGAGTATAGGATAGCGTAGTTCGGAGTACAGGATAGGGTAGTTTGGAGTATAGGATAGGGTAGTTCGGAGTACAGGATAGGGTAGTTCGGAGTACAGGATTTGGTAGTTCGGAGTATAGGATAGGGTAGTTCGGAGTATAGGATAGGGTAGTTTGGAGTACAGGATAGGGTAGTTCGGAATATATAGGATAAGTTCGAAGCTCAGAATATATATACTATAGAATAACAGGTGGCACCTGTATTGGTATGACATTGTGAACATACCAATACACGTTATTGTGTACATGTAGTATATTCTGAGGTTCGAAGTATAGAATAGGGTAGTTTGGGGTACAGGATAGGAGGGTAGTTTGGAGTATTGGATAGGGTAGTTTGAGTACAGGATAGCGTAGTTTGGAGTACAGGATAGGGTAGTTCGGAGTACAGGATAGGGTAGTTCGGAGTATAGGATAGGATAGTTCGGAGTATAAGATACAGTAGTTCGGATCAAAGTCAGAGTATTTTAAATTAGAATAGAGAATTTTAAGAATACTTTCTGTATTTTAAGGTTTTAGCTTTAGAAGATTTTTTTTGAACAATACATATTAGAGAAATTACAACATGTATGAATTTAGTGGGAAGAAAATTTAATAAATTACACCAATTCAGATATGCATTCATGTTCTTATCTATCAATTATTCAATCAGTCAATCTATATATATATCCATCTATTTTTTGCCTAAGTATGATAAATCCTAGAAGAGTTATTATACCGAAGTACGGAGATTGTAGAGACTATATAANATTTAATCAGAATCCTCTTAAGAAATTTGTCTGATTGCATTAATGGACTTCGATATCAATATATATATATACATACATATATATATACACATATATATTGATATATATATGTACATATATATATGCATACTTACTTCCGATTATGATAAAGAACAATAGAACAGGAGTCCTGTTCTAATTTTATGGATGTAAAACTATTTATCTACGAGAATGGAACTTTTTTAGATTTCCCATTTGAAATTTATGAAACTTTTCTCGATTCCAGAATGAAAAAGTTGTTCACAAATGAAAAGCAAGAAATGATCAAGAATGCACGAACAAAGTAGTGAACCATGGCTCTCATGTTGGATCTCATGTTGTACGTAAAATAATGCTTGTTTTCCTGTTTTCTAGGAGAACTGAAGTTTCCTGGATTCCAGATAGGATCCCATGTTGGAGAATGGAATCTTGATGCTAAAGAACTTTATCCAATTTATAAAGTAAGCTGCTACTTTAATCCTATCAACTTCAAATAATCCTCCATCTTAATTCTTCAAAATCTGACATTTTTGAAAGCAAAAACTTTACAACTTTGTTTAATAACAATTTTTTACTCAATCATGGTTAATGACTCTTAGTTTTAAATTTTTTTTACAAAAAACTTGAAATTAACAAAAAACAAATAAGAGAAGTTATCGAGGAATTCCAAAACTAATCCAAATTGGTTCTAACAAAGGAATTGAGTTTTGTTCACAAACTCTGATTTTCTGAACCCTATATATTTGCATTTCAATGTCAGAGACCTTAGATATTTCAAACTATGAAGTATTTTAGATCAAATAATGATAGTTTGAAATATCAAAGGTGAACATAATCAGGTTGCAAAGATATAGCGATTTGAAAATCAGAATTTGTGGCTAAAACTCAGTTCCTTTAAAGATATTCTCTGAAAATGGCACGAGAAATTGTCTAGTATGATGCAATGGATCTGAAAATTTCCCCTTTCCAGGTCACCAAAAAAAAATATCTGTACATCCCAGATATTTTGGGTGATTCTCGAAAAAAACATTTTTGAAAAGTGCAGTAATTGAGAAATTAGGCAAATTCTATTAAAGGGAGTGACTTTCTCCGGGATATTAAATAATTGAAAAAAAAAACAAGTTTCTTCTGCAGACTGAAACAACTAGTGAAATATTACAAATGACTTCATGCCCTTATTAAAAAAGTATTCACTGTAAAAATGTTTCATTGGTATTAAATGAATCCCACAGTTTTTCTCTACAATACTGCACTTTCAGGTAAATTACCATGTCTCGAAAGACACTCCCTTTAAAAAAAACCCTAAGTTTTAGAAACCAGAGGTCTTCGTAGAATCTTTGATTCCGAAACTAAAATCTTAAATCTAGGAATCTAGGAATCCCTAGAATGAGAAGACTTGTGTGTATGTATTTACGCTTGGGTTACCCTATTGTAATCTAGAATTAGAATTAGTATACATTTATGCTTTAGTCCTGTATTTTCTCCAACAACATTAATGTATATAGTTAATAGTAATAGCAATTTTATATGGGCGTACAATGGATTTTTTTTTTCAGGGGGTTGGGCAAAATAGCGTGAAGAACTGGTATTTATTAGGGGTTTTGGATAGTTGGGTCACTGCGCCCTTAACCACCCCCCTTGCCATCGACCTTGAGCAGTAACATATATTTTGAAAATAAAAATTAGATAATTAAGCAAAATTATAAATATTGATAAATTGACTGACTATCCAGATTGTAAAACAGTCACTCCATTGCACAGATTCATAACCTTCTTTATAGTTTTAATAAGAGCGTAATAACAAATAAAAAGATTTGTTGATACTGAAATCAAATGTTGATAAAATAAAAACAAACATTTTTTTAAAATCTTTAATTTCTATTCCGTATTCTTAGACAAATTAGCAAAAATGGTAGATAAACTTTCTCTAGAAGACCAATTTAAAATGTTGTTGTTGATGAGAATCGCGTTGAACGAATGTTGTTGACATATTTAATTTGGATTTATTGTAAATTAAATTGGATAAAATATTGAACTCCATGTTTAGATTTTAAATTGATGTAATGATTGAGCAAATTATTCTTATTATTTATATTTTAAATATTTTAAATCATAAATGTTATTTCAGAAGTAAATTTCAAGCATGTATCATTATTTGCAAGCACTATTTACGGGGGATAAAAATTGAAAAAGATTTTTTTATGATAATTTACTTTGCGTTGATTGTACGTATGCTTCTTATTTAAAGCGTTTTACTGCGAGCATGGGTCCAAAGATGTCTTATAACTTTACGCCAAAATAAAATATCTATATAGGCCAACAATATATATTTTTAAAGGGACTGTCAACACATATTAAATTATAATTAAATAATGAAGATATTTTTGTATTTTAATTTTTGAACTAATGGTTTCAATTATGACTACTTTGAAAAATGATTGACTTGAGGAATTTTGCAACACATCCCAAAAAGAAAAATGTCAGAATTTAAATCTTTTTTTCATATAAACAGTTATGAATTATCTGAATGAGGGGAAGGAGGGGCCGGTGGTGGGGGGCTGTCATAGGAAGTCATAGATCAATTTCAGAATTGAAAGATATTTTTGTAAAGCATAACTTTTAACCTTTTAAAGTAGATTTGAGATGCTTTTAATTATTGACTCTTTTATTTTGAAATTAATTTTGTTTAATTGCAGACTGCTGAGGATCTCGGAGCAGCACTTTTCGTTCATCCTTGGGACATGCTTTCAGGAGGCAGGTCAGTTTAGTATACATTTAGACATGCTCTCGAGAGGTAGGTCAGTTTAGTATACATTTAAACATGCTCTCGATAGGCAGGTCAGTTTAATATATATTTAGACATGCTTACAGTAGGCAGGTCAGCTTAGTATACAATTAGAAATGTTCTCAGGAGGCAGGTCAGCTTAGTATACATTTAGACATGCTCTGGAGAGGCAGGTCAGTTTATTATACATTTAGACATGCTCTGGAGAGGCAGGTCAGTTAAGTATACATTTAGACATGCTCTCGAGAGGTAGGTCAGTTTAGTATACATTTAGACATGCTCTCGAGAGGTAGGTCAGTTTAATATATATTTAGACATGCTTACAGTAGGCAGGTCAGCTTAGTATACAATTAGAAATGTTCTCAGGAGGCAGGTTAGTTTAGTATACATTTAGACATGCTCTGGAGAGGCAGGTCAGTTTATTATACATTTAGACATGCTCTGGAGAGGCAGGTCAGCTTAGTATACAATTAGACATGCTCTCAGGAGGCAAGTTAGTTTAGTATATTTTTAGTAAATGGACGTTAGTTGTAATAATGCGCCGCTTTGATTTTGGTGTTAGAGTAATTATATGCCAAAAGTGTATAAACGAGAGGGGCCTGAGCTTTCTATCTTGAAAGACAGATACCTGAGAATAGTGCTAGAGTCATATCTGGTTTGATATTGACAAAAGTATTATTGAACGGAATAGTTCGTGACTGAGTTGTATCTTGTAATTTGTACCGATCTAAAAGTCTTTGTTGGAGTAGGGCATTTACTACATACAATTAGACATGCTCTCAGGAGGTCTAAATGGCGGGGATAGGCATACAGGGGTAGACCTTCTGTCTCAATCTTGTGCTTAACCTGATACTCTGGAAGTTGATCAGGAGGGCGAGGATTCCAGACTACAGGGAACTTGTCCAGGAGAGACGAGATATCAGGGGCCAGCTTGGAAATTGAGGCGATGGAAAAATCGGCGGGTAAACACATGAGAGAGATGCTTCAAAGATGAGCGTTCAATTACATGACGTCTTGCTGGATCCACCAGGAGATCGGATTCTGCTAAAAAATCCGCTCCAAGAATAGGATTATCCACGGAGACAAGCAAGAACGGAAACTGGAAATGGCGATCTCCAAACTGAAGAGGGAGAGTTCTGCATCCCCAAGATTTTTTCGGTCTGCCATCAGCCATCAGGAGACGAGGGTCAGTTGGGGCTGCAGAAGACTGATGAGGAAAAACAGAGCAAGACACTCCGGTATCCACCAGGAACTGACGATTTGTTAAAACATCAAGCAGATTGATTAGCAACCCGCCGACGGGAAGACTGTTTAATTCCTCCTCCTCCAGTCGGCTCTGGAGTTTCCCTGGAAACTGCATGGATGACGGCAATTATTAGCACTAGCGCCAAATCTTTTGTGAAAATAAAAATCACCAGAGTTAACAGGACCTGGATTCTGGCTTCGACGAACAGGTGATAAGCTTCCTTGTCTTCGAGAAACAAACCAAGAAACAAACTACCAAGGACCTCATCTTCAGGGAAAAGTGCAAGCACAGAGATCATCATGGCCATTGGACGACGGTCTCCCGTGCAGGATGATGGATAACTTTCACAACTCTTTGCCAGAGAGTAAAAGTGTATGATGAAACTAACTTGGCATTGTGATCCTCTTAGGGAGTAGCAAACAAGGATGTTGAGGTCATGATGAGACTACAGAAAGAAACCATGATGGCTTGCGGTAGCTTCTGAACAACATATTCCAATTCCGTCCGTGATTGCGTGACCTTGGCGTTATGAAAATCGGACTCAGCGTGCAGGAACCACAGGTCAGGGTCTTCAGTCCAAAAATCCGGAAGTTTGACGGCGATTTTGCTGACAAAGTTTGTTGTGACAGGATTCTGATCAGCCATGATGACAACGGGAGCAGATCTCACTAGATTTGTCGATGTAGATCACTGAATGTTCGTATTAGGAATCACCAATTTAGAAGTCATGAGTTCGGACTCTAAGAACGAGACTAGGCTAGTTCAGTAACTATATATTTTGCATAGAAAAATATCGAGATCAACAACTTTTAAAATATCACATAATAAATATATTTGGTTTGGCTTTGGGCGACAGAATTCTAGATGTGGACATATCGTCTTCCACATTATGTTATTAAGACACTCTAAGTACTGGTTACCATGGTTAGTTGGTATGCCTGCTGTATGAATGAATTTATGTTATTTAGACACTCTAGTAACTGGTTACTAGAGATGTCAACGATAGTGTAACGTAACGTAAAATGTACGTTTTTGTATGTTACGTTACAATAATGTGTAACGTTTGGATATATTCTATATTACGTGAACGTTAAACGTTAACGTTATAGGAGCTCATACCTAACGTTAACGTTAAACGTTAACGTTAGAGGAATTTAACCCCAACATTAGCGTTTTGTGGAAATGTAACGTTATTTGTCTAATATCTACAACTTTTTTGACCATAACGTAAAGAAATGTTTTATTTCCAAGGGGAGCTTGAAAGTCTAACGTTTGAAAAATGAATTGTGATTTGATTGAATATCGTAACGAAAGGATTTGTATTTCAAAGTTCAACTTATAAAAAGTGTAACGTTGTATAACTGAAAAATGAATTACTGTTTATGAAAACGTTTTGAAACGTTTTCCCTTAAAGAATAATGAGAAATTCAACGTTGCAAAAATGGATAATTATTTTGATAATCAGGAAACGAAAGTTTTTTTTACAGAGTAAAATTTTAATAATGTAAACGTATAATATTTAAAAAAATGTAATTCTGTAAATCATAATGTTTCATAACTTTTCTCTGAATACTAAATTGATTAGTCTAACGTTAGATATATATGTCTGATGAAAATGTTGTTCATATAACGTTAGACTATGAGGGCTGAGTTTTAATTTCAAAAGTGTAACAATAATTCTGTCAATGAAAACGTCTCTAATATATCAATGTAAGAGATTCGACTGATGATTATAATAGCAAAGACTTATGTTTTTTCATTTCAAGTTCAAAGAAAATGAGTTTATGCCAAAAACTTTTATTTTCATTTAATATATCTTTACAACCCGATGTCGTAGACCATTAATATTGAAATATTCAAGGTTTAAACCATTGGGTTGGAAAGATAAAGGGATTAGCAAATTTGAAAAAAAAACTAAAGTGTAAACAAGTTTTTTTGTAACATGCTATTAGTGAAAATTCAAATCTTATAAATGTTTCTTGGACATCTTGTTTGATGAAACCCACTAAAACTCTGGAAAAGGAAGACGACATTAAGAAATTTTACATATGCATTTTCTGTTATAAAGCAAAGATTTACTAATTGTAAAAAAATCAACTTAAGTGGAACGGGTCTGTGAACAAACACAATTGCTGGGTTTCATATTTATTTGATTACTTGAAATCATAACTTCTGTTGGCATGGTTCATGTATTAGGTTGAAAAATTTAGAAATGTAGATACTTACTAAAATGCAACAATATTTTATCAATTTGAAAATGCAATTATGTTCAAATTTTTATAAAATTTTTGAATAGAAAAAACTGATTTTTTAATTTATTTTTTTTTAAAAGAAAAAAATGTTAAATAATTTTATTTCGCGTTGTTTGTGTTAAAAAAAATTTAGCACTTGTCTTACTATATTTGATATGTTTAACCCCAAACATGAACTCTGAAAGCATTTTTAGTGTGGTCTGTAAACTAAAGCTAATGCCGTTTTTTTACTCACTTTGTAAGTAACATAAAAAAAAAACACAAAAAGAACACAAAACTCGCCACAAATTATAATTTTCTAATCTCTACATCTTTGCAAGCTGGTGTTGTAGACTTTTGATATTTCAAGCTATGACTTCTGTTAGATAAGAATGTCTAAAGGAATTGTTCACAAACTTATATTTCTAATCCCGATATCTTTGCTACCCAATGTTGTAGGCTTTAGATCTTTTAAACTATGAATTCTGTTAGATAGAAGAAAAGGGTCAGTCTGCATTGCGTAAACAAAAAGAAAAAATTAACCCTAAACTAATCTAAAATAATTTAGAACTACTGCTCCACATGCAAAAGTGGTTTGCCTTGCCGAATTTTAACTCATTTAATGAAGTGTCCCAAAACATGTCTATTTTTTAAGCTCGCCAAATACACGATGATAATTTCAAGTGATCCTCAATTTAAAGAGGGCCATGCTCGATTCCCAATGATAATGTTTAAACCTTTATCTGATTGATGATTTGAAATTTAGGAGTGTTTTCCATAGGGTTGCGAATTGACAATTTAATATTGGAGATATCGCCGTAAGGCCTAAAAAATATTTTTTAAAAATAAATATGATACATCATTTTCTTGGAAATTTCATGTTGAATTCAGACTCGAAAACCATTTTTAAATATATTAAATCTGATGGTTTTATAACTTTTTAATGTTTTTTAGCTCTGACTCACTCAATTTTCAATTTTTTAAAAAGCTTTTCAGATTTTAATTTAGCATTGAATTTCCAAGAAAATGATGTATAACTTGAAAATAAAAAATAATTTTTTTTTGTGGCCTTACGGTGAAAACGCATCGACTTCCGGTGGGCGGTTGGCTCTATTCCAATATTGATCACCCCTACTGGACATGCCACTCCATAAATGGAAGGTTACTTAAAATTACGTCTCTAGTCCCTTAAAGACACACTTTGAGTTGAAAGTCTAATGCTAAAAACTTTCATTTACAAATTTTAAAAATCGTTAAAAATAAAAATATTATAACATCTTTATATTGCATAATGCATATTCTTCTACACATTCTCTAAAAAGGTTAACAATACAACAGCAACATACAGGGTGAGTTAAAAAATGTAATTATCTTGCAATGCTTTCATTTAGAAACAATGTTTTTTTAATAAAGTCTAACGTTAGAAACATTAAAGCTTGAACAACGCAACGTATAGAATATTTTTTCAAACCTTAGAAACGAAACGAATAAACAGTTTTGATTGTCAGTTTTAAAAAAGTGTAACAAAAAAGTTTTCACAATAACGTTTCGATAAATCGTAACGTAAGAAAAGGTGCATTTTAGTAAAATTTCTAAACGTAATTAAAAGAGTTTGTATTTATGTTATTTAGACACTCTAAGTACTGGTTACCCTGGTTAGTTGGTATGCCTGCTGAAACTGCTACAGCAATCTGTTCTCTTTTAATGGGTGGAATCCTTTACCAGTTCCCTAAGCTCAAGGTAGAAAGGAGAAGCGCGTCAAATTTGGAATCAAAGGAAATGTGAGTTTACTGGTTCAGTAGTCGATATTTATATAAATACCATGAAGACGACTTTTATATTTAAGTTTTTTAAAATTACAAGTTTACAAACAAATTCCATGTTTATGTGTATCCATGATGATTGAAAGCAATTGTTAGAAATCCAAATTAAAATCGAAAGTCGTCTTCATTGTGTTGATATATATGATAACGACTGTATTCTACAAATATAAAAGCTTCTCTAAATCTTAAATCTCAAGGCGGAAAGGAAGTAAATACCTGTCTCACTGTATAATTGTTCCATTCTTTATTGCAACCTGATGCCGTAGACCTCTTATATTATGTTCTCTGATTTTTGAAAAAATATTTAAGATTTAAAGATATTGGGGTTAAAAAATGTATTTTCGAAATATTACGGCTTTGGTTCAACTTTATATCCAGGCTGAAAATCAATTTTTTGCCTATTGTTTAATAGATTTTAAATTAGACTATAGATATTAGAATATTTTTAGAGAATCTATTTTGTAATTTTAGGTTTGTTTTGCTCATGGTGGAGGTTCGTTTCCGTACACTGCAGCTAGAATACAACATGGATACAATGTAAGATAATCTTTTCATATCAAACTATAAACTCATGTGCTATCCCGACATATTCTATATATGGTAATAAACAAGTTTGATTTTGCACTCCATTGTGTGTAAAATGAAAACTAGAGGCGCAACGACGCAGCAAAGTCATTCCAAGTGTTTTGCGTATATTAATAATACTTCCAGAAAACTAAGTTTAAAAAAGAATTAATTAATTCAAAAATGCAAAAACTCATTTAAATAATACTTTTGCTTGAAAAAAAAACTACTTAAAAAGACCAAACGTAAATTTTGTTTAGGTGAGACCAGATTTGTGCGCTACAGACTGTAACATCCCTCCTTTGGACTTTTTGGGTAAATTCTGGACAGATTCTCTAGTTCATGATCCCGGGGCACTCAGGTAGATAACATTCTCTAGTTCATGATCCCGGGGCACTTAGGTAGATAAAATTCTAGTTCATGATCCTGGGGCACTTAGGTAGATAACATGCGGGAAAAGTTCCTCTTTTGTGGATTTTGACTAAACTTAATAAAACTGTTGAACCGATTCGAGTCAAAATTTTGTAATGGAATTAAGCACTTGTCTCGAACTTTTTTTCCAATCGGTTTATCTTTGCAACCTGGTGGGTTAGACCCCTAATTATTTCAATCAAGACATGGTATGAACTATTAAGGGTTTCCATGACAAAAGGTTTCAAAAATAAAGGATTAAAAAATTAAAGCTTGTAGCAAGTAATCTGTTTCTTTACAAATACTACATGAAAACTGCATGAGAAATAAAACTACAGTTTTAAATTGGTTGTTCTAATTGTTTTGTAGATTAAATCATTTAATAAGTTGATGCTCATTATTGTCCAATTTTGCAATCTTTTTTTTAGAATACAGCGGGAATTATAAAACTGTCTAAACTGCACAATGGGTTTTTCTTCATTAAATTGTCTAAAGTCATAACTTGAGTCTAAAGTCGTCTTCCTATTCCACAGTTTAATGGGTTCTACCGTATAAATATCCTTGCATTAAAACAATAATTGATTCTTTCTCTGGTTTTAGTATAATAATTCTTGTGTTTATATTGGCTCTGTCAGCAATAAGTAATTTATAAAGAAAAGTTATATTTTTCTTGGGTACAATTGAATGCATATATATAGTGTAGAGATTAATGATAAGTTTGATATCAATGGATTTTTCAATCTTGGACGGCAGGGGCGTTTTATAGTAAATAAAGAAAGGATAGGGTTACAAACGGACAACTTTGCTAGTACATATGATTTTAAATTCAGCATTTTTTTGGAAGTTTAGCTTTTGCTTTATAAAATGCGTTTAAATCCCCCCTGTTCAGGTTACTCCTTGAGGTTATAGGAGAAGATAGAGTAATGTTGGGAACAGATTATCCATTTCCTCTTGGTGAAGTTAAAATCCTGGATACCTATCCGGGTAAAGTAATAACAGACAATCATACACTCTCAGAAACGACAAAGGTAAAGAATTAATTTGATCTTTTTTTCATGGCTTTTAACTGAAAAAAAAATTAAACGTTTGTTTTAGATTTTTCAAAAAGATTTAAATATATAGGAAGAGACCAAATATGATATAATTCAAGAAGTCTTAAATATAAAGTTATATAATTTTTCTTTATAAAATTTCATTATCAATTTTTGAAAGAAAAGTGTGAACCTTAATAAACAAAATGTGATTTTTTTTTTAAATTCTGGAAAAGATTTAGAAATAATAAAATATTTGTGAAAAAATAGCAAAGTTTTAAAAACTGTATCATAAAATATGTAACAATTTTTAGCTTAAAGTTTTGTTTTTAGATTGAAGTGTTTTGCTTGTTTATTTTTAGTAAAAGTTTTTAAAACTTACTTCACACTTTTATTTTTGCTTGAGTGCGGTTGGCATGTCAGGTTTGAAACACATTTTGTAAAGAAATCAAAAACAAAACCACAATCTTGAAAGTGAGAGCAGAAAACAACAATTTCGTAAATAAAGTTATGCTCTGCAAAAATAAAAAAATGTTTGACAATGACTTACTCTTAAAAAACAGTATGCTGTTTTAAATTTACTTTCTCATCAAAGCAACAGTCAGATGAGAGCATACGCATTCTCATCTTCTCATCAGTGCTATGGAGAGTCGCACCAGACTCACTCAGATCTGAATTGATTCGGTCCAGGTAGAGTGATATTCCTGTTGTGTGCAATGTCCCGTAAAATTCCAAAACAGAGCGAGTGGGATTGAATTTTGTAGATCCAGAAAAATAATTAAATTAGTATTTATTTAGGGTTAGGTTAGGTTAAGACACTTTCTGGGCCGAGCGCTGCGGCTAGGAGAGGCTAGGGGGCCGAGCGATGCGGCCACATGTCTTACATTTAAGACCCCACCAGCTGCCAGTCTCTACGCAGGCATCCTACAGATATTATTTTTCTGGATCTACACAATTTAATCCCCCTCTCTCTGTTTTTGAATTTTACGGTGCATTGCACACAACATGAATCCCACTCTGCCTTAGGTCCAAAGCTACTCTGCATGGCACTGATGAGAATGCCTGCATGCTATCATCTGACTGGGTCAGTAACTGCATTTAAACAGTGATATAAATCTTTCTCTTGTAAATGCTTTCTAGGTAAAGTCTAAATTATCTTATGCTAATTTGAAATTATGTTTAGGAAAAATTGTTGTTCAGCAATGCAATGGAGTTTCTCAACCTAGATCCTACCAAATACTAATCAAATCAATTAAAATCTGATAACGTACATGACTGCCAAAGCTGATCAAGTGATTATCACAATGGTTCACATAAGAATGACTATCAGAGCTGATAACGTGCCTTACACACGTGATTACGTGACTTGACTTACATCGTCATTAAACAGCTGACAAGTTAGTTTACATCTAGCCACGTGACTATTCAGCTGATAACGTAACTAACACAGCTGATCACATGACTTTCAGAGCTGATAACGTGACTTGCAAAGCTGCAGTTACATAACCCTACAGCTAATCAGGAATCTTTGTGATAATACGTGAGCTTTAAAAGTATAAGACTAGTTCAGTTCAAATAGATTATCAAGTACAATAGGTGGCAACAGAGAAATGGACCAATTATACACGACGTCACAAGTGTCAAATATAACAAGAAAAACGAAATTTTCTCACAGTAGTTCACATGTTTTCCAAGATTAAATAAAAAAGTGTAAAACAGAAAATAAAGAACACATACATTTGCACTTATTTTACTGTAAGATAAGCACTTTATTTTAAAGTTATCACTATTATTAATAATCAGAAAAATCAGGTTGACACTTGTGACGTCAGAATACAGCTGTGCTGAAAGTGTAAAAATTCTATGTTGCCATCTATTGTACTAGAAGTCTAGAATCTATTTGGTTCAGTGAAATTAAGTTCTGACCTTAAAGGATTCCTGATTTGACTGCGAAAGTTTGCTTTTGAAGTTTATCTAAATTTACGCAGGTTTTCATTTTCATGAATCATGATTGTTGTAGTTATAGTTTTCAATTTTACAGATAAAGGTATTTTTTACGTGAAAATGAATGAAATACATACTTTTTATCACAAATGATATGTTTTCAGTAAAAGCTTTTAACAATATGTTTTATCCTTTAAAGTGTTGTCAGTTTTAACATATTAAGATGACAATTTATCTTGGCTCACAAAAATTTAAATCAATGTATGTGCATTGTACAGCTAGGTGATCAAATGATTTGCAAAATAATCGTGACTAAAAAGCTGATAATTTTTCCGCTGAATATAATAATTAAGTAGATTCACACTTTATCTTGGAAAAATAATTAAAATATATAAAGTTTAGAGTAATGTTTTGTTTTAGATGGGAACATGTTGAATTCCATGCAGGCGATATTTCTCTAAATATATGGATTGGCCAAATAGATTATCAAGAACATTAGGTGGCAACAGAACACATTTTACACGACGTCACAAGTGTCAAATATAACAAGCAAAACGAAATGTTCTCACATCATGACAAGTTTTCCCTAGTTTAAATAAAAAGTGTAAAAACGTACAGAAATAAAAAACAAAAATTTACACTTATTCTACCGTAAGATAAGCACTTTATTTCAAAATTATCACTGTTATTTATAATTTTTTGTCGGACACAAAAACTTAGTTGACACTTGTGACGTCAGAATACAGCTGTACTGAGAGTGCACAAATTCTACGTTGCCATCTATTGTTAAAGAATCTATTTGGAATTGGTGAGGTTGATACGCGTAAAATAACATAATGCACAGATAGAATCAATGGGTTAGATTTTGTTTTCGAATGGTTTTCTTTCATGTATAAAACTTATTTTTTGTGTCATCTTGGACTTATCAAAATCTCCCAGCTCTAAGCTCAAAAATTCCCAGCTCTGAGCTTAAAAACTATCTGTGAAATCTGGATATTTAGGCGATTTTGTAAGCCTTTAGAGATAATTAAACAGCAAATTTTAACCACTGTACACATAACTGAATGTACATTTACGGGTTTCAATCTAAACAAATTATAAATTAGGATATATAACTAATTATATAATTATATAACTAATTAAAGGTAATTGTTACATAATAAGATGTACTTATGCTGCTCAAATTTTCCCAGCTCAGAGGCCAAAGGTTCTCAGCTCTGAGGTCAAAAGTTCTCAGCTCTGAGGTCAAAAGTTCTCAGCTCTGAGGTAAAAAGTTCTCAGCTCAGAGGTCAAAAGTTCTCAGCTCTGAGGTTACAAGTTCTTAGCTCTAACTTAAAAATTCCTTGTTCTTAGGTCAAAAGTTCCCAGCTCTGAGCTTAAAAAATTCCCAGCTTTAAGCAAAAAAATTCCAGATCTGAGCTAAAAAAAATTCCCAGCTTTAAGTTCAAAAATTCCGAAAACAAAATAATTTTCATCAATCAATTCACTACAACACCTATTCAGGCAGAGTATAAAGAAAACTTTGTTCAAACTTTCAGAATTAAATCTTCATCAAAATATTATTTGGATTTTAAAAAATTCATTCATAAAAAAGCATCATTTTTCAAAGAATTATTAGGTTTTTGGTCGAAATATCTTCGCTATTTTCGACATCGTGATTTAGTTATTACAAAACAAACTATTTTTATATTTGCATGTCTCTCATGACTATTTTTTTTTGTATCCAATAAACGTCAAAACGGCTAAAGATCGGACTTGGGGGTGCAAAGCGCCTTTGAATGACAAATTCGTTAAAAATACTAAATAATACCTTTTAAAACGTCTGTTAAAAAAAACATTACTTAATTTTATTAGCCTCTTTTTTAAACTATTATTATTCTGTTGATAACTTGATTATTTGAATATCTAGTTGTAATCATCAGTGTAATTAGTGGAATGATTATGAATATGATGAATATATCTGTTGTATAAGATGACTAATTATATATTGTTATGTAAATATATAATTAATGTCCCTTATAAAGATTATAATGTTGTGTAAATATATAATTAATGTAGAAGAATATAGGAAGAGATGGATTGATGGTTACTGTTGGCAACAGAAAACATAATTTCCTAAGAAGGAGAAAATCAAAATATCTAAACTGGGTCTGCTAAATACTTTAAACTTAACTCTCTAAACTGGGTCTGCTATTAATAATCTAAAATTAATCCTTTAAACTAGGCCTGCTATTAACCCTTTAAACTGGGTCTGCTCTTAATCCTCTAAACTGGGTCTGCTCTAAATCCTCTTAACTGGGTCTACTCTTAATCTTCTAAACTGGGTCTACTCTTAATCCTCTAAACTGGGTCGGTTCTTAATCCACTAAACTGGGTCTGCTATTAATCCTCTGAACTGGATCTCCTCTTAATCCTCTAAACTGGGTCTACTCTTAATCCTCTAAACTGAGTCTGCTCTTAATCCTCTAAACTGGATCTGCTCTTAATCCTTTAAACATGGTCTCCTCTTAATCCTTTAAACATGGTCTGCTCTTAATCCTCTAAACTGGATCTGCTTTTAATCCTTTAAACATGGCCTGCTCTTAATCCTCTAAACATGGTCTCCTCTTAATCCTCTAAACATGGTCTCCTCTTAATCATCTAAACATGGTCTCCTCTTAATCCTCTAAACATGGTCTCCTCTTAATCCTCTAAACATGGCCTGCTCTTAATCCTCTAAACATGGTCTCCTCTTAATCCTCTAAACATGGTCTGCTCTTAATCCTCTAAACATGGTCTCCTCGTAATCCTCTAAACATGGTCTCCTCTTAATCCTCTAAACATGGTCTGCTCTTAATCCTCTAAACACAGTCTCCCCTTAATCCTCTAAACTGGGTCTGCCGTCTACCCCTTATTCCTCTAAACGGGATCCGCTTATTTAAGAACGTGGGTCTCTAAAATGATTCTTCAATTATAAAAATGTAGGTCTATGCTTTTTGAATGACAAGAGCCCACAATCTTTTTCACATACATTGTGTATTTTGAAGAAGGATTTTAAACTGTTGTATGAAAATGTTTGTTTTAAATAAATCAGGTAAAGTTTAAAAAGTTGTTTTAACCAGCTAGTAAATAATATATCAGGTTGAGGTAATGCATTTTCTGCATACACTACTGATTATTAAAGCCAAACAACGTGTTGTGCAAAAATGGATAAAATGTAAACTAAATTATTTAATGTTTTTAAAAATGTGTTTCTATTAGCTAGTGCAACATGAATCTAAATTTTTTTATTGATCATTCTAAAAATGCTGGAACCTTGTGTTTCAATTAAATGAATAGCCGCGAGTAAGGACTTTAAATGGAGTGTTCGCAAAACAATGAAAGGAGGTATAGGCTTACGTAGAAAAATTATCGATGGTGATCGCTACTAATCTTACTTCTATCTGTTGCGTCTATAAGGAAAAAATTGTTAAAAACGACTCTTACCGAAGAACGTAGTGTCCAGATAAATTCAGAAAGATGCAACATACGACTCGGATCGTAAAAAAATCTATTTAATTCCAAACAAATCATTCAGATAGTACAGCCTATAATCATAGATAATTATTTGACGAATTCGTATATATTATTCGATATTTCATAATATTTTTTATTTGTTTTTTATACAATGAATGTAAAAAGCCCCTTTTCATTTTTCGCGAACACTCCCTTTAAGTTTGAAGTTTCAAAGCTTGTTTGCCATGATATGATTAAAAGGACTGTAGCCGTAATTTTAAGAGACATTCCATTTAAAGAGGAGCTTCTCCGATTCATAACAGTACAATTAAAACAGCTGAATCTGAGCAACAAAAAAAACTACATGTTTTTTCAAATATACTTCCTAATTTCTAACTGTGGTTTTTGTGTAAAAGTGACTTGTGCACAACTTCACAAGAAGCAAAAAACGTAATCTACTAACACATTTTAAGATGTAGTTCATATAAAGATACCGATGTGAATCAGGCATGCCAATCCTAATCAGATCACCTATACACCCTATGTTGCTTCAAAGGTTAAGATGTTTTTAAAGTGTTATTGCCAAAAATATTGAAATGCCGGAAAAACGTTTATAGTTTAGTTTTGACTTTGGTGAAGATAAAACGCATGGACTATAATTTATGTAAAAAAATTCTTCTTGATTAGTATTCTTACATTTTAAAAATGTCAAAGGTCTTCTCCGAAAAATCATGCCTATTCATCTATAAAGCTACAAATCTCTGAACCAATGAAAATCACAAATTTATTACTCTCATGGAATTTTTATCTTTGCAAACCTAGTGAGAACTTGATTTACTTTTAATTTAGGTTTATTTGTTTAAGTAAACTAATCCAATAAACCAATAAACCAATTCAAGATCAATATATTGACTATTTAATTTCTTAAGAATATAAATACAATGATTAAATCATCAAGCACTCCAACTATCATCGTTTGAGACAGTGGTCAACACGTGGTAAACACGTGGTCAACACGTGGTCAACACGTGGTCAACACGTGGTCAACACGTGGTCAACACCGTGGATGTGATATAGCGCTTTTAGCGACTGAACTCGAAACTTTTAAATTAGTTCCAGTGTGATATACGGTTAATCTCTCTTTCAAACTTTTTATTGAAACAATAAAGGTACAGATCTGAGAAAATTGTGTAATAATGATAAAAAACACACGAATATTCATATATATAT